CAGACTGGATTTGGCACTATTATTATTATTATTCATCGCACAGTAGCCAGATGTTCAGACTGTATTTGGCATTATTATTATTATTATTATTCATCGCATAGTCAGCCAGATGTTCAGACTGAATTTGACATCATCATCATCATCATCGTTGTTGTTGTTATTCATCGCACAGTCAGCCAGATGTTCAGACTGGATTTGGCATTATTATTATTATTATTATTATTATTATTATTATTATTATTATTATTATTATTATTATTATTATTATTCCCTCAGCCCAAAGCGCAAGTCCCTCCCGTCTCATCTCATTTGATAAGGATCCCGCAGTTCACAATCTTTCTGGAACGCCTCCTTGCCCCATTTTTTTGGGGGGGGGATTTCAGGATTTTATTTAGTTTGACTCCTTTATAATGTACAATGTGAACGTGCAAAAACAAATAGTAGGGGACAGCGGTAGAAAAAGGGAAAATAAAGCAAAACAAAAAGAGTGAAGAAAGACGGCGGGGGAGGGGGGGAAACGAACAAAAGGCCCTGACTTCCGACTTTCTCTGTTGCAATCAAATCAGACTTTAAAATCAAATCTCAACTTTTGTTTACATTTCTGTAGCAGTTGGAGGAGGCACTAACCGTTTCTATATCGGTCGAATCGGTCAAATCCAAAATCGTGATATTGTGTTTTTTTTCTCCCCACCTCAAGCACAAAGTCCAGAAGCGGTTTCCAATTTTTGCTGATCCCGTCAGCTTTTGTAACCATTCCTCCATTGGCTGGAATTTCCCTATCTTTGTGGTCCTCCCCTTACTCAGTCTCCCCCCTCCCTTTTTGACATGACCTTTGCCCTTTAAGGTGGTTTTCCGATGAACAAAGGCGTGCACCTTTGCTTAACCCACAGTTCCTGCTTCCTTGGAACTTTGATGCCTCAGCGTGAGAAAACGAAACTATAGGTTTATTTCTAGATTATGTGTGAGCCTTTGTGGTTAACCCGGCCAGCTCGCCTGACTTTGGGGCTGAAAAGCTTTCCTATATTTTCCAGTATTTGGAGGGGGGGCTGCCACAAGGAAGAGGGGGTCACGTTGTTCTCCAAAGCACCAGAGGGCAGGACGAGAAACAACGGTTGGAAACTGATCAAAGAGAGAAGCAACCTGGAATTAAGGAGAAACTTCCTGACAGGGAGGACAATTAACCAGTGGAACAGCTTGCCACCAGAAATCATCGGTGTTCCATCACTGGAGGTTTTTTAAGAAGAGGCTAGACAGTGACTTGTCTGAGATGGTATAGGTTCTCCTGCTTGAGCAAGGGGCTAGACTAGAAGATCTCCAAGGTCCCTTCCAGCTTCTATTCTATTCTATTCTATTCTATTCTATTCTATTCTATTCTATTCTATTCTATTCTGTTGTATTCTGTTGTATTCTATTCTATTCTATCATTATTATTCTATTCTATTCTATCATTATTATTTATTCTATTCTATTCTATCATTATTATTCTATTCTATTCTATTCTATTCTATTCCATTCCATTCCATTCTCTATTCTAGTCTAGTCTAGTCTAGTCTAGTCTATTCTAGTCTAGTCTAGTCTATTGTATTCTATTCTATTCTATCATTATTATTTATTCTATTCTATCATTATTATTCTATTCTATTCTATTCTATTCTATTCTATTCTATGCTATTCTATTCTATTCTATTCTATTCTATTCCATTCCATTCTCTATTCTATTCTAGTCTAGTCTATTCTATTCTAGTCTAGTCTAGTCTATTCTGTTGTATTCTATTCTATTCTATCATTATTATTTATTCTATTCTATTCTATTCTATTCTATTCTATCATTATTATTCTATTCTATTCTATTCTATTCTATTCTATTCTATTCTATTCTATTCTATTCTATTCTATTCTATTCTATTCTATTCCATTCCATTCCATTCCATTCCATTCCATTCTCTATTCTATTCTATTCTATTCTATTCTATTCTATTCTATTCTATTCTATTCTATTCTGTACTCTTTTATTCTATTCTGGGGCTGGACTAGAAGACCTCCAAGGTCCCTCCCAGCTCCCATTACTATAGTACTGGTCCCTTCAAATATATGATTATTCCTGCAAAAAGCATCATCTAGCTAGCTATTATTGCTTTTCTTACACGGCAAATTCAGGTCATCCCCCCAGGTAGACTTATCTAGCTTGCGTACCACCTGCCAGGTGCCAAAGTACCCCTGGATCTGGTTGTTCATCCCTGGCACCTGCCCTCTCTCAGGCTGTTCCCCTCTCCCCCTCCCCTCCCCAGGCAGGGGACACGGTGGGCGTCGTGCGGAAGGAGGACGGGACCCTGAATTTCTTCATCAACGACGTGGCGCAGGGCCCAGCCGCCTGGAACGTCCCGCTGAAAATCTACGGATTTCTATGGTCAAGCTGCCCAAGCCACAATCGTGGGTGACAGAGGTAGAGGACACGGAGACCACGTGGGACTGGAGTAGGCTAGGGAAAGGGGTTGAGACAGGAACAAGGAACGTGGCTTATTTTGAAACCCAGGAGATCAGGAAAAGTCAGAAGTTGGTTTACAAGACAGGAAGGAAACACTTCTTGACAGTGAGGACAATTAATCAGTGGAACAGCTTGCCACCAGAGGTTGTGGGTGCCTCATCATTGGAGGCTTTTAAGAAGAGACTGGACAGCCACTTGTCTGGTGTAGGGCAGGAGTCTTCAAACTTGGCCCTTCGATGACTTGTGGACTTCAACTCCCAGAATTCCTCAGCCAGCGTGAGGGAACTAGGACCCTTTGATGACTTGTGGACTTCAACTCCCAGAATTCCTCAGCCAGCGTGAGGAAACTAGGACCCTTTGATGACTTGTGGACTTCAACTCCCAGAATTCCTCAGCCAGCGTGAGGGAACTAGGGCCCTTTTATGACTTGTGGACTTCAACTCCCAGAATTCCTCAGCCAGCGTGAGGGAACTAGGACCCTTTTATAATTTGTAGATTTCAACTCCCAGAATTCCTCAGCCAGCGTGAGGGAACTAGGGCCCTTTTATGATTTGTGGACTTCAACTCCCAGAATTCCTCAGCTATCATTCTTTTTCCTCCCTCCCCCCCCAATTGATAGTATCAAAAAAGCACCAAGCTGGTGATTTATTGACTTGTTAAGTCTGTCTCCTGCCAGACATTCCTGATTTGGGTGGAAGTTAGAGTTTTAAAATCTATGTAAATAAGTAAATGCATTCTGGAGCAAAGGGCAACCACAACTGCTTTGCGTCTTACTGGGTCACACACATGTCCCAAGTATAGTTTGTGTGATGGTGGGAAGCTGGACAGACGCCCAAAAGCAGGCCGGGAGGGCAGGTTAAAGTCCAAGCAGGTTTTAATGTCCCAGGGGAAAAAAGCTGGTGCCTTTTTTGAAAAAGCAAACAAACAGGGCTTTCCTTCCAGCCTTTGGAATGGCTAATTTTGAATTTCACTTGCCTGAGTTTTAACTTTGTTCTTGACGCTGTTTTTAATCTGTGTTTTTATGCCTGTGTTTATTTTGTTTTATTATGTGGTGGTAAAACTGTCCAGGTTTAATTAGGTGACAGGGGAAGGGTTGAAAATAGATGATAGAATATATTAGATTAGATTAGATTAGATTAGATTAGACAGATAGATAGATGATAGATATAGAGATAGATAGATTAGATAGATAGATAGATAGATAGATATTGAATAGATAGATAGACTAGATAGATAGATATATACTAGACAGAGATACATAGATATACTAGATAGATAGATATAGAGATATAGAGATAGATAGATAGATAGATAGATAGATAGATAGATAGACAGATAGATATACTAGATAGATAGAGAGATATATACTAGATATAAATAGATATACTAGATAGATAGATATACTAGATAGAGATAGAGATAGATAGATAGATAGAGATATACTAGATATAAATAGATATACTAGATAGATAGATATACTAGATAGAGATAGATAGATAGATATAGATATACTAGATAGATAGATAGATAGATAGATAGATAGATAGATAGATAGATAGATAGATAGATAGATAGATAGATAGATAGATATGCAGGTCTTGGTGTATTCGGGTCTTTTCCCATGTAAGATTGAGAGTATCTTGGTGACGTTTCGACGAGGTCCCACTCGTCATCTTCAGGCTGGGGTCTTCGGCTTCATGCACTTTGCCCGCAGAAGCACGAAGCCGAAGACCCCAGCCTGAAGATGACGAGTGGGACCTCGTCGAAACGTCGCCAAGATACTCTCAATCTTACATGGGAAAAGACCCAAATACACCAAGACCTGCATACCTATACCCGTGAAAATCTATATATATATTAACCAATTTATATTGATACTTGCTGTCTTATTATGTAATCATTATTTTGTAGCCAATTGCCTGAGCAAGTGCTTTATGGATATTGGAAAAAGGAAAGAAGGGAGGGAGGGAAGGAAGGAGGGAGGGAGGCCAGGAAGAAAGGAAGGAGGATGGGAGAGAAGGAGGGGGGAAGGAAGGAAGGAAGGAAGGAAGGAAGGAAGGAAGGAAGGAAAGGAGGGAGAGAGAGAGAGAGAGAGGGGAAGGAGGGAGGGAGGGAAGGAAGAAAGGGAAGGAGGGAGGGGAAGGAAGGAGGGAAGGAAGGAAGGAAGGAAGGAAAGAGGATGGGAGAGAAGGAGGGGGCAAGAAAGGAAGGAAGGAAGGAAGGAAGGAAGGAAGGAAGGAAGGAAGGAAAGGAGGGAGGGAGGGAGGGGAAATAGGAGGAAGGTGGGAGGGGAAAGGGGAGGGACTTAGGAAAGCCCCCTGTGGCATTTCCCCTAGTTTCCCATCCCCCCCGCGGACCCCCGTCCCCGCGTCCTGGCACGTCCTCAGTGCGCCTGCGCTGACTCCACCGCCACCCCCCTCCCTCCCGCCCCCCCCCCGCCCGCAGAAGAAGGAAGGGATGCTTGGAACGCGATGAACCAGACGGAGGGGGCGTGGCTTTCCGCCCAGGCCCCGCCTCCTCGGACTCCTGCAACGGGGAAGCCGCTTCCTCGCCCGCGGTTGCTGCCAGGGGGGCGCCAGGTTGGAGTCTTCCCCCCCCGCACACCCACCCCCCCGGTAAGGAAAGGGCTGGGGAGGGGGCGAGGGCCCATCGGATGCTGCACCTGCTGGGCTTGGGCGGGGGGGGGAATATGGTCCATTTGGGGGGGGGGAGAACATGGGCTTTGCCTTTGAGGATGCTCAGGGAGGGAGGGGGGTCTTAGGACCCCCCCTCCCCAGTCCCAGAAGACCTTCCTTACGTTCCTCTCTGCATCCGTGTCCAGCTTGAAAGGAGTGACCCCCCCTCCCCGCTTATATTCCCCCCCCCCATTAACCTCCTTGTAAAATACAGGTCGTGGCTTCCCGGATCCTCCCTGGGGGGGGGCAGGGAGGGAAGAGAACTTTGCACATCCTCAGAGGCCCTCTTGCCTGTTGCTAGGCAGCCGTAGAATGCCCCAGCTCCCCCCCCCAACCCATTTTTATTCTCTCCCTGGGGGGGATCCCCAAAATCAAGGTGAATGCCAAGCGCCCCCCCTCCCAAATCGTAAAAATCTGACAGAAGAGGGTCCCTAAACAGGATTAGGATATTTCTGCCAGCTTTCGCTGGCCTTCCCACGTTCTCACTTTGATCCCTGCAGGAAACTGTTGCCTGGATTCCAGTCCCACCAGGAATCCGCCACAAAGCAGGACTGGCAGCAGGGTAGGGTCAGAAAAGTCAAAATGGCAGCCACGAGAATGGGATCGATGCTTTGCCTGTCTTTTGAGCTACTTGGAGAAAAAAAACGTGGCCGCCATTTTGACTTTTCTGACCCATTCTGCAGGAAAGTAAAAGTGCCAGGTGTGAACCACAGAACACCACCAAAAAGGGGAAAGAAGGAAGGAAGGAAATAAGGAGAGAGAAGAAAGAAAGAAAGAAAGAAAGAAAGAAAGAAAGAGGAGAAGGAATGGAGGAAGGAAGAGGGAGGAAGGAAGGAAGGAAGGAGAAAGAGACAGGAAGAAAGAAAGAAAGAAAGAGAGAGGGAGGAGGAAGGGAGGAAGCAAGAAAAAGGAGTGATGGAGGAAGGAAGGAAGGAAGGAGAGAGAGACAGGAAGAAAGAGAGAGAGAGAAAGGGAGGGGAGAGAAAGAAAGGAAAAGAGAAAGAATGGAAGGCAGGGAGAGAGAAAGAAAAAGAGAAGGAAAGAGAAAGAGAAAGAATGAGAGAAAGGGAGGAGAAAGAGAAAAGGAAAGAGAAAGGGAGGGAGGGAAAGAGGGAGGGGAAAGAGAGTAAAGAAGAAGGAGGGAAGGAGGGTGGGAGAGGGAGAGGAAAGAAGGAGGAAGGAAGAGGGAAGAAGGAAGAAAAAAGGAGTAATGGAGGAAAGAAAGAAGGAAGGAGAGAAGAAATGAAAGAAAGAAAGAAAGAAAAAGAAAGTGGGAAAAGGAGAGGAAGGAAGAAGGGAGAAAGGAAGAGGGAGGGAGGAAGAAAAACGGAGTGATGGAGAAAGAAAAGAAGGAAAGAAAGAAAGGAAGGAATCCAGATTTACATGATCCCCTATTTTGGGATGCCAATTTGATTTTCCATCATTTCCCCCCATTTCTTCTTGCCCCCCCCCCAAGGATCCATGCTGGTCCGGAGGGCCGTTGTCCCGGCCCCCCCTGATGGGGGCTGGGGCTGGGTGGTGGTCCTGGCTGCCTTCCTCCAGTCCGCCTTGGTCTTCGGCGTTCTGCGATCCTTCGGCGTTTTCTTCGTCAAGTTTGTGGCTCATTTCCAGGAATTGTCCGGACGGATCTCCTGGATCACTTCCATCGGGATCGCGGTGCAGCAGTTTGCTAGTGAGTAGTAGGGGGGGGCAGGAAGGGGGCTTACTGGGGTGGGGGTCAGGACACAAATGGCATTTATTCACCGGGAGAGGTCTCCAGATTTGGCAACTTTAAGACTTGTGGACTTCAACTCCCAGAATTCTGTGCGTTTTTTAGTCCCAGGCTGGGGAATTCTGGGAGTTGAAGTCCACAAGTCTTACAGTTGCCAGATTTGGAGTCCCTTGGCCTCCAGGCCAGCATTTCTCAGTGAATTTAAGATGGATGGACTTCAATTCCCAGAATTCTGTGCGTTTCTCAGTCTCAAGCTGAGGAATTCTGGGAGTTGAAGTCCACAAGTCTTAAAGTTGCCAGATTTGGAGTCCCTTGGCCTCCAGGCCAGCATTTCTTAGTGAATTTAAGGTGGATGGACTTCAACTCCCAAAATTCTGTCCATTTCTCAGTCTTACGCTGGGGAATTCTGGGAGTTGAAGTCCACACCAGTAGCTAAACTTGAGAAACTGCAGGGATATCCAACAGCCTGAAAACCTCGACTTACGACCTCAGTCGGGACCAGAATTTCCATCGCTAAGCAAGGGGATGGTTAAGTGACTCGATTCTGTGACCTTTTTTGCCACTGAATCACTGCCGTCGTTAAGTGAAACACGCGGTTGTTAAGCGGATCTGGTGTTCCCCCGTTGACTTTGGGTGTCGGAAGGTCGCAAAAGGGGGAATCACGTGACCCCTCCAGGGGACACTGCGACCGTCATAAATAGGAGCTGGTTGCCAAGGGTCCAAATTTTGATCATGGGACCACGAGGTCGTAAGTGTGAAAAATGGCCAAACAGCAAGTCATTTTTTTCCCACGTCGTTGTAACTCACAATGGTTACTAAACGAACAGTGAGTAAGTCAAGGGTGACCTGTAGTTGCACTCATCAAAGGTGTAGTGCAGCGGTTCTCAACCTGTGGGTCGGGACCCCATTTGGGGTCGAATGACCATTTCACGGGGGTCGCCAAACAACGCAGTCCGCCATTTTTTCCCCCCTTTTCCTTAGCTGTGCTCCTCCCTTTTATTCTATTGGCTTTTGAAAGCCAATAGAAGAGACTCTCTTGAATAGAGTCTCATTCTATTGGCTTTCCAAAGCCAATAGGAATTGTCCAGGCTGTCTCTGCCCTGCTGAGCCTGCCAAAAGCCCCAGTCTGCAAACGGTGCTGCACCAGTTGAGTAGTCCCCGACTTACAACCGGTTGAGTAGTCCTCGACTTATGACCGGTTGGGGGTCACGGCCTTAAAAAGGTTGAGAACCACTGGTGTAGTGAATTGTGCAACGGTTAACGTACTAACCAGGTTTATTGGTGGTTTATTTTTCAGGTCCAGTGGGAACTGCCCTGAGTTCCCACTATGGGGCTCGGCCCGTGATCATGGTTGGGGGGTTTCTCTCCGGCCTGGGTCTCCTGTTGGCATCGTTTGCTACCCAGTTGGTGCACTTATATCTCAGCATTGGGCTTCTTTCAGGTACGTAAATTAAGACACGTCGCGCTCTGTCTTCGGTTCTCTAATTTTGCCCTGACATTCTCCTGCCGGTCAGAATCGCGAATTCTTTGGCACAGATACCGTCTCTAAGTGAGGCCTTTTTCAATGCAGATCCCTGTTTCTTAACTTTGGCAGCTTTTCAGACGGGTAGATTTCAAGTCCCAGAATTGGCCGGCACAAAGGCATTCCTTTTGATATATACACCAATGGTGGCCTGCTTACTCTCTTAGAATCCCTTCCTCTGCAATCTCTGCGGTCTAGGGGTTAGGAGAAAAAAACCAAACTCAGGCATGGCTGGCTGGGGGATTCTGGGAGTGGAAATCCACCCATCTTAAAGCAGGCTGGCTGGGGGATTCTGGGAGTGGAAGTCCACCCATCTTAAAGCAGGCTGGCTGGGGGATTCTGGGAAGTGTAGTCCATCCACCTTAAAGCAGGCTGGCTGAGGGATTCTGGGCGTGGAAGTCCACCCCTCTTAAAGCAGGCTGGCTGGGGAATTCTGGGAGATGAAGTCCACCCATCTTAAAGTAGGCTGGCTGGGGGATTCTGGGAGTGGAAGTCCACCTATCTTAAAGCAGGCTGGCTGGGGGATTCTGGGAGTGGAAGTCCACCCCTCTTAAAGCAGGCTGGCTGGGGGATTCTGGGAATGGAAGTCCACCCATCTTAAAGGAGGCTGGCTGGGGGATTCTGGGAGTCAAAGTCCACCCACCTTAAAGGAGGCTGGCTGGGGGATTCTGGGAGTGGAAGTCCACCCCTCTTAAAGCAGGCTGGCTGGTGAATTCTGCTCCGCTGTAGAAGACCTCTTGACTTTCCGCAAAAGTGCAATCCGGCTCTGATTTGTTGCAGGGTTCGGCTGGGCCTTGGTCTTCACGCCTTCCGTGGCCTCCGTGGCTCGCTACTTCAAGAGGCGCCGCACCCTGGCCACCAGTTTGGCCCTCACCGGCGTTTGCATCTCCTCCTTCGCCTTCTCGCCGCTCTTCCAATTCCTGGTGGACACCTACGCCTGGAGGGGGGCCCTCATGATCGTGGCTGGCATGTCCTTCAACCTCGTGGCCTGCGGCGCCCTCATCCGGCCCCTGACCCTGAAGCAGGACCTGTCCGGCGAAAAGCTGACGGGACCGTGCTGGAAGACCCTCTCCGATCTCTTCGGCCTGCACCTCCTTTCCCACTGCTCGTTCATGCGGTACGTGGTGGCTATCACGTTGGTCAACACAGGCTATTTTATCCCCTACGTCCACCTGGTGGCCCGGGCACGAGAACTGGACTTTGACGAGTACCAGGCCGCCTTTTTGATGTCCGTGGCGGCCGTGGCGGACCTTTGCGGTCGCCTCTTTTCCGGGTGGATGGGCAGCTACAGGTCATCACGGTTGATCCACCTGCTGGTGGTCTGGACCTTCTTGACGGGCGTCTCCTTGCTGCTCATCGCCTGGGGCCGCACCTACCCGCTCCTGGTGGCCATCAGCCTCGGCTACGGATTCTTCTCCGGAGCCCTGACGCCCGTGGTCTTCTCCATCATTCCGGAGATCGTGGGCATCGAGAACATCTTCAGCGCCATGGGGCTGCTCCAGATGATAGAAAGCGTCGGGGGGCTTTTGGGGTCCCCCCTGTCAGGTAAGTAACACGGAGGTCACCAACCTTGCTCGGTTGATGGACTGGAGGGAAACGGAGGGGGCAGCACGCGCGCGACGCAAACGTGATACTCACTAGCCCTGCCCCGTTCTGGTGGTGCGCGACGCCCTGTTTACGCACCCTGAGGCCTGCTGTCCCGTTTTCACGCCCCATGGGACGTTGTCCCGTTTTTGCGCCCCAAGGCACACCCTGAGGTGCGGTGTCCCATTTTTGGTGTCCCGCAATATGGCAGAATCCCGTTTCCACACCCTGAGGTGCAGTGTCCCGTTTTTTGTGCATGGCAGAATCCCGTTTTCGCATCCTGTGGCTGTGGTGGTGCTAGCCAGCGCAAATGGGGATGTGTGCGTGCATGATAGCAGTGTTCCAATATCTCAGGGGCTGCCCCAAAGAAGAGGGAGTCAAGCTATTTTCCAAAGCGCCTGAAGGCAGGACAAGAAGCAACGGGTGGAAACTCATTAAGGAGAGAAGCAACCTAGAACTAAGGAGAAACTTCCTGACAAATTAACCAGTGGAACTACCTGCCTCCAGAAGTGGTGAACGCTCCAACACTGGAAGTTTTTAAGAAGAGGCTGGACAGCCATTTGTCCGAAATGGTGTAGGGTTTCCTGCCTGAGCAGGGGGTTGGACTAGATGACCTCCAAGGACCCTTCCAACTTTATTATTATTATTATTACTTGCGTGCACTGACTAGCCTGTCCCACAGCCCGGTGGCCAACAGGCCACGGCCCGATACTGGGCCCGATACTGGGCCACGGCCCGATACAGGTTGGGGAGCCCTGGAGTAACACAATCGTAACCGCTCTTCCGAACTTGTTTGTCTGGTTTCCGCGGGCCTTGCAGGTATCCAGGTCAAAGGAGAACGCAGGTTTTGTCCCGTTGAGGTGGATCCGGAATCGTGATGTTTTCCGACAGCGCTGGATGTGTTTTATTGGATGTGGTGTGGGCCTGTGGGATATGGAGATGGTAGGTCCTTATCCCCAATGTCAGATCCCATGTCACATCATGGTTTGTTTCAATCCATCAGAATAGAAGCGAGAAGGGAGGGAGGGAGGGAGGGAAGAAGGAAAGAAGGAAGGAAGAATAACAGAATAACAGACTCGGAAGGGACCTTGGAGGTCATCTAGTCCAGCCCCCCACTCAAGCAGGAGACTCTATAACAGTGGTTCTCAACCTTTTTAATGCCGTGACCCCCAACTGGTCGTAAGTCGAGGACTACTCAACCGCTCGTAACTCGAGGACTACTCAACTGGTGCAGCACCGTTTGCAGAATGGGACGTTTGGCGGGCTCAGCAGGGCAGAGACAGCCTGGACAATTCCTATTGGCTTTGGAAAGCCAATAGAATTAGACTCTATTCAAGAGAGTCTCTTCTATTGGCTTTCAAAAGCCAATAGAATAAAAGGGAGGAGCACAGCTAAGGAAAAGGGGGGGAAAATGGCGGACTGCGTTGTTTGGCGACCCCCGTGAAATGGTCGTTCGACCCCAAATGGGGTCCCGACCCACAGGTGGAGAACCACTGCTCTATAACATCTCAGACAAGTGGCTGCCCAGTCTCTTCTTAAAGACCTCCAGCGATGGAGCATCCACAAGTTATTGTGGCAAGCCGTTCCACTGGCTAATTGTTCTCACTGTCAGGAAATTCCTCCTTAGTTCGAAGTGGATTTTTCCTTCATTCCAAGTTGCTTCTCGCCTTGATGAGTTTCCATCCGTTACTTCTTGTCCTGCCTTCAGGTGCTTTGGAGAATAGGTGGACCCCCCCCTCCTCTTTGGGGCAGCCCCCCCCCAAATACCGGAAGGCTGCTATCATGTCGCCCTAGTGTCCCTCTTTTCATTTAACTAGACCAGTGGTGGCGAACCTATGGCATGGGTGCCAGAGGTGGCACTCAGAGCCCGCGTGCCGTCGCCCCAGTCCTGGGCCTTCAGCTGGGTTTTATAAAACCTTTTCGCTTTAGGCCTCTGCCGCCGTGTCCCCCCCAAAAAAGGTTCAATCAATCAATTACAACTTCTCGCGGGAAAAAAAAAAGATCTCGCAAAGTTGGAATTGATGGATTGAACTTTTTAGTCCCACCCAGTCTGCCGTGACCACCGCAGCCACGCCCACCCACTGGGCCACACCCACCCGGCCCCCCCGACGATGCATCAGTGGGTTTTGAGTTGCAGTTTGGGCACTCGGTCTCTAAAAGGTTCACCATCACTGGAATAGACATACCGTTTTTTTCTGGCGTGTAAGACGACTTTCTAAGGCGTGGAAATCGGCGCCGAAGTCAGGGGTCGTCTTATACGCCGAGTCGCCTTATACGCCGGAAATAACGGTAGTTTCCGGCGTATAAGATGACTTTTTAGGCATGGAAATCGGCGCCGAAGTCGGGGGTCGTCTTATACGCCCAGTCGCCTTATACGCCGGAGAATACGGTACCCAAATCCTGCGACCGTCCTTTGTGCGTTTTAGCCTCCACGCCTTTCATCGTCTTCGTTGCTCTTCTTTGCACTTTTCCCAAAGTCCCAAACTCTTTTTTTGTTTGTTTGTTTTGGTAACCTGGTGACCAAAACTGGATGCAGGATTCCAGGTGTGGCGAGGTCCAGGTTTGGCTTGATCCACTGCTACGGGTGATTGACACCGTCCGTCCTGAGAGACCTCCTGGCACCAGTTCACTCTTTTGCCGTCTTCTTCCAGGTTGGCTGAGAGACCTGACCGGCAACTACGCGGCCTCTTTCCTCGCCGCCGGCTGCTTCCTGTTGGCCGGTAGCCTCGTCCTGATGACCGTGCCCAATTTCTCCACTTGTCTATCTCAGCCGACTTGGCAGGAGGCCCATCTTGGCAAAGAGGCCGGGGACGGCAGCCACTTGACCTCGGAGGCCCCCACTCCAGAAAAGTGCCTCTCGTGCCCTGGGGGGCCGTTGGCCGAGCAGACCCCCGTGAAGAGCTGAGCGGCTGCAGGAGTCCAAAGGTGGACGTGGATCCAAGAGCAGGGAACTTTGGACTCTGCAGGACCCGATCGGATGCGTGCCGTCGAATGTGTAAATGTGCGTGCGAGAATGCGGAGGGAGTGTGGGGTGTTACTCGCTGCAGCTACACGAGGCCAGGTCTTACTACGGAGTTGATTTGCCAGTGCCTTAAACCAGCCCTTGGAGACTTGTGGACTTCAACTCCCAGAATTCCCTCGCCGGGGACTGCGAAACACACAGAATTCTGGGAGTTGACGTCCGCAAGTCTTAAAAGGGGCCACGTTTGAAGAGCCCGGCCTTAAACCTCTGCCAAAGAGCGGGTTTTTAGGAAAGTCGAATCCAGGACACTGAAGCAGTGCCCTCTAGTTTAAGCGGGCAACCTTGTGGGTGCAGGCTCATAGTGCCAATCCTGATGGACTCCCTAGCCCCTGCTCCACAGCCCTGGGATGAGATGCCCCTTACCTTGCTTCCAACTTTAAGATCAGACGATCCTGATTCAATGGGATCTCCCCTTGATTGTGTTGGGGTGGGGCTGCACGGAGGAGGGGGCTTTGAGGGTTGGGGTCCAACCAGAGCAAGACACACACCCCCCTCCAACTGCCTTGTCAACTGTGGACACAGTTCCCGGGATTGGAGAGGTTAAACTCCAGCCGGGATGGCCAAATCTCTCAGCCAAAACCTGCCTCAGCCACCTTGGTTGCTGTCACTTTCCGCAATGGGGGACATACATGGTTTGGGTACACACTACCCCACCGGGTTTCCCCTTCATCCTCCCTTCCCCTCCCCAAATAGCCTCTCTGCACAACTTCAAATTCCCTTGCAGAAATTTGCAAAAATTCCTTTGCACAAATTCAAATTCCCCTGCGCAAATTCGCTTGCAGAAATTCTTTTACAGAAATTTTCTTGCAGGAATCCCCCTGCGCAAATTCCCTTGCAGAAATTCCTTTGCACAAATTCAAATTCCCTTGCATAAATTTGCAGAAATTCCTTTGCACAAATTCAAATTCCCTTGCAGAAATTCCTTTGCACAAATTCAAATTCCCTTGCAGAAATTTGCAATAATTCATTTGCACAATTCAAATTCCCTTGCAGAAATTTGCAAAAATTCTTTTGCACAAATTCAAATTCCCTTGCAGAAATTTGCAAAAATTCCTTTGCACAAATTCAAATTCCCTTGCAGAAATTTGCAAAAATTCCTTTGCACAAATTCAAATTCCCTTGCAGAAATTTGCAAAAATTCCTTTGCACAAATTCAAATTCCCTTGCAGAAATTCTTTTACAGAAATTTACTTGCAGAAATTCCTTTGCACAAATTCAAATTCCCCTGCGCAAATCCCCCTTGCAGAAATTCCGTCGCACCAATTCGCTTGCAGGACCCCCCCCCCTGCGCACGTTGCCTTGCTGCAGAAATTCCGTTGCGCCAATTCAAATTCCCCCGGCAGGAATTCGCTCGCAGAAATCCCTTGGCGCAGATTCAAATTCCCTCACAGAAATTCCTTGGCGCAAACCCTTTTGCACACATTCGCTCGCAGAAATCCCCTTCGCGGAAACCCCTCCCCCTGTCCGTTCGTGGATAGTCTCCTTGAGAGCAGAGAGCCTCAGCTGAGGAAGTCGGCGGGGAATCCAAACCGTCAAGACGGCATCCGCACGGGGTGTGTTGTTGACTCGTTGGACCTTCCTGCAGCTACCCCTTGCGCGCTTTCGCTAGCTGCCCTCCCGGCTGCTTCTTCCTTCCTGCCAGATTGATGGGGTCTCTGCAGTGGGGAGAGGGGGGGGCGTGCATTTGGGGGAACCTCTTGGGGGGGATGGCGTGGGGCTCCCCCTCAAGTTGTGGACGTGTGCAAAACGCACCCCTTCTCTTGTGCACCTTGCAGGGGACCCTGGGATGCCCCCCACCCATCTCCCCACCCTCAACGGGGGATCGTGGCACTGAAATTCTGCGCCAAGGCTTAGCCCAGTGGTTCTCAACCTTTTGAGTGCCGCGACCCCCCGACCGGTCGAGGACTACTCCACCGGTCGTAAGTCAAGGATTACTCAACTGGTGCAGCACCGTTTGCAGAATGGGGCTTTTGGCGGGCTCAGCAGGGCAGAGACAGCCTGGACAATTCCTATTGGCTTTTGAAAGCCAATAGAATGAGACTCTATTCAAGAGAGTCTTTTCTATTGGCTTTCAAAAGCTGATAGAATAAAAGGGAGGAGCACAGCTAAGGAAAAGGGGGGGAAAAATGGCGGACTGCGTTGTTGGGCGACCCCCGTGAAATGGTCGTTCGACCCCAAATGGGGTCCCGACCCACAGGTTGAGAACCACTGGCATAGAAAAAAAAAGAAAGACGGGGCTGCAGGCGCCAGCTGTTGCCATCTGGGTGTATTTGATTGCCTAGCCCATAATCCTCAGCCCGCGCATCTAGGCTACACCGGCTGGGGGCAATGTGCGATGTAGTCCGATCTGGGAGGGGTGAAGCTAGAAAGAAAATGAACCGTTTAGTCCAGTTGTTCTCCACCTGGGCGAGTTTAAGATGATGTGGACTTCAAGTCCCAGAATTCCCCAGCCAGCATAGTTATGCTGGCTGGGGGATTCTGGGAGTTGAAGTCCACATCATCTTAAACTTGCCCAGGTGGAGAAACACAGCTTATGTCGGTGTGAATTTAGCATAAACGTCCCCTTTGAAGAGAACGTTGGCAAGTCTCTCTCTTTTTTTTAATTAATTTAATTAAATGTGGTTTTATAAAAACTCTCGGAATAAAATCACCAGCGGAATCAGTGTGAAATTGGTTTGCATGGATGGTTATTTTTAGGGTTATGGTTCAAATTAGAATGTAAAATTGGACAGGCAAGAGAGATATTTTATTAAGGAATCACACCACATCTTCGATCCCGGGAAAACCCGAGTTCTGGGTTCGAATTTTCGAATCGGCTAAATTGCACGCCTGGTAAGCTTTTTTGGGGGGTGCTGTGCCACCCAAACACACCCCAACACCAGAAGAGAAACGCTTGTTCCCTTTAGCAGCCAAGGGGCAGTTGGCTGTTTCTAGGGACTGTTTTAACTCCGGTCACTAAACAAACTGTTGTTAAGTGAAGCTCAACCTCTGTTTTATTGGAAGAACCGTGTGCTGAAAATCTGCATTTTCACTGCCAGTAGAAAGTCCTGACGTTAAATTCCTCGGAAATCTCTTGACTTTGCCAGTTGCAAAGTCCTGCAAGTTTCTCCGCTCTTTTTTTTTGTGACCTTCGGCTGGATACGGAATTCTCTAAATTCAGCGCGTTTTCCTGACCTTTGAAATGGGCTAATCAACGTAGCGCTCTTGCTAGGGGTTCAAGCCGTCCTCTCCTTACAACTGTTTGTTTAGTGACCGTTCGATTCTGTTCCCTTATTTCTATTCTATTCTTTATTCTATTCTATTCTAATTCTAATTCTATTCTATTCTATTCCATTCCACATTTTCTATTCTGTTCTGTTCTATATTCTATATTCTATTCTATTCTATTCTATTCTATTCTATTCTATTCTATTCTGTATGTTATTTCTACTCTACTCTACTCTACTTTATTCTATTTATTCTATTCTATTCTATATTATTATTTCTTATTCTATTCTATTATTCTGTTCTATTCTATTCTATTATTTTATTCTATTTATTCTGTGTTATTTCTACTCTACCCTACTCTACCCTACCCTACCCTACCCTACTCTACTATATTCTGTATTCTATATTCTACTCTATTCTATTCTATTCTATTCTATTCTATTCTATTCTATTCTATTCTATTCTATTCTATACCACAACTGGGCCCAACATTTTTGTTGTGAGACAGTGCGGTTAAGTGAATTTTGCCCCGTTTTACGGCCTTTCCTGCCAAGGCAGTGGACGATGGGTTCGATGCATTGGATGCCCCCTCCCCTCAATTAGGGGGGAGGGTCCTCTCCCTGTTGCACCCCAGTGGGGAGTCCGATTAAATTGCGCTCTGGTCGGACTGCACCTGGTTGCAGAAGCTGGGACCGCTTTAGTAGATTGGATTCACACGCCCATCATCCTGGTCAGCTTGGCTGTGATAGGCATGGCGGGAAGACCCTGGAGGGAGGAATGTGGGATGTCTTTCATATTTCCAAAGGTCTCCTGGCCGTCATGGGGTGGGGAGGTTTCCGATGCTCCACAGCAGCGGGCATCTCGCCCCGCTGGGGGCTGCAGCATCCGGACGAGGGGGAGGGAAGGGCAAGGAAGACCAGACTGGCACAAAGGACAAAGCCCCCCCCAACCAGGAACGAGGCAGCGAAGTCTCCAGTTTGGTCCCGCAGGAAGCCTGGGAAGAAAAGAAGAGACAAGGAGGCATAAGCCAGCATTGTTGGCTTAATCATGGTTTGTCAGAGAAACCCTCTGACTGAAAATAGTGGCCCGGGTTCACCTGTTGGCGAGATTCCCAGAAGGCAGGTGGGGTTTAGTCATGTTTCACAAACATGGCCAGTTCAGGACAGGGGGACTTCAACTCCCAGGATTCCCCAGACAGCATGAATTAAGATGGGTGGACTTCAACTCCCAGAATTCCCCAGCCGGCATGAATTAAGATGCATGGACTTCAACTCCCAGAATTCCCCAGCCAGCATCCTTTAAGATGGGTGGACTTCAACTCCCAGAATCCCCCAGCCAGCAAAGTTTTATCGGAATTCAGCATGGATAGGACAGGGACAAATGTCACTTTTTTTTTGATTGAGGAATGCGGTAGAATAGATGTAATATACCTTGAGTTCAGCAAATTGAAAAAAAGAACTAACCCCTGACAGCTAAATTAATAAACCCAGTTAGATGGGGGTGGGGGTTAGATGGTACGACAATTAAATGGGCAATTGATGTGCTGGCTGGGGGATTCTGGGAGTTGAAGTCCACCCGCCTTAAAGGGGCCATGTCTGAGAAATATTGATTAAACAACGCTGAATCCATCATTGTTGTTTAATCAATCTTTTGAACTGCCCTTTGTCTGAAGTGGTACTATAGGGTTTCCTGCCTGAGCAAGGGGTTGGACTAGATGACCTCCAAGGTCCCTTCCGAGTCTGTTATTCTTTTTTTCCCCTTCCTTCCTTCCTTCCTTCCTTCCTTCCTTCCTTCCTTCCTTCCTTCCTTCCTTCCCTCCCTCCCTCCCTCCCTCCCTCCCTCCCTCCCTCCCTTCTCCAACACTGGAAGTTTTTAAGAAAACACTGGACAGCCATTTGTCTGAAATAGCATAAGGTTTTCTGCCCGAGCAGGGGGTTGGACTAGATGACCTCCAAGGTACCTTCCAAGTCTATTATTCTGTTATTCTTTTTTTCCTTCCTTCCTTCCTTCCTTCCTTCCTTCCTTCCTTCCTTCCTTCCTTCCTTCCTTCCTTCCTTCCTTCTTTCCTTCCCTCTCTCCCTCCCTCCCTCCCTTCTCCAACACTGGAAGTTTTTAAGAAGAGACTGGACAGCCCTTTGTGTGAAATAGTCTAGGGTTTCCTGCCTGAGCAGGGGGTTCGACTAGATGACCTCCAAGGTACCTTCCGAGTCTGTTATTCTGTTATTCTTTTCCTTCCTTCCTTCCTTCCTTCCTTCCTTCCTTCCTTCCTTCCTTCCTTCCTTCCTTCCTTCCTTCCCTTCTCCAACACTGGAAGTTTTTAAGAAGAGACTGGACAGCCACTTGTCTGAAATAGTCTAGGGTTTCCTCCCTGAGCAGGGGGTTGGACTAGATGACCTCCCAGGTCCCTTCCAACTTTAGTACGATGATATTATAATAGAGCTACACCTGGACTGAGCCCGCCCCCCCCCCAACGATCACCCCTCTTCTCCTTACCCGAGAGGGGGGGTCCCAGCAGGCCCCCGACGCTCATGGACATCATGCACAGCCCCGTGGCGTTCACCACTCGGCCGACGCCCACCAGCTCAGGCAAGACCCCGAAGGCCAGCGTGGCGAAGCTTCCCGCGCTGGCGCCGTAGAGCAAAGCCAGGGCGAGCAGGCTGGCACCGGAGGCGGACGAGGCTGGGAAGAAGAGCAGGCTGACCCCCACCAAGGTGTTGAAGGCCACCAGCAGGTAGACGGGGGGCAGGAGATGCCGGTCAGCCACGCAGCCGGCCAGCAGCCGGGCCAGGGCGTCGGCTAAGCCGGCCAGCGAGACCATGAAGGCCGCTTTGTACGCTCCCATGCCTAGCGCCTGGCCGTAGGCGTCCAGGTGGACGTAGGGGACGAAGTACCCGGCGGCCAGCAGGGCAGTGCCCAGGGCGAAGGCCCCGAAGCCTCGCTGGGCGAATAGGCCCAGATCAAAGAGGGCGGTCAGCTTGGGGGGGTCTCCCCGCAGGGCCAGGGGTCGGAGGAGGGCCCCGCCGGGCACCAGGTGGAGGGTCAAGGCCGAGGCGGCCAGCAAGGTGCCTCGCCAGGCGAGGTGGTCGGCCACCAGGCGCAGGAGAGGAGAGAAGGCGAAAGAGGCCAGACCATTGCCGGTCAAGGCCAGGCCCACGGCCAGCGAACGGTGGCTGGAGAAATAGCGGGCGAGGGTGCCCATGGTGGGGGCAAAGGCCAGGGCCCAGCCCAAACCTGCAGGCAGATGGAAGGGAGAAAAAGAAAAAGAGATATTTATTATATCGGTCTCGATTCATTTATACCCCACCTTATCTTTTCTCAAATAACTGAAACGTATCCCGAATGTATCCTCCTATTTTACTCACAACAACCCTGTAAGGTGATTGGCCCAAAGTCACCCAGCTGGCTTTCATGTCTAAGGCGGGACTAGAACTCACCGTCGCCTGGCGATTGGCCCAAAGTCACCCAGCCGGCTTTCGTGTCTAAGGCGGGACTAGAACTCGCCGTCTCCTGGCGATTGGCCCAAAGTCACCCAGCCACCTTTCGTGCCTAAGGCGGGACTAGAACTCCCTGTCTCCTGGCGATTGGCCCAAAGTCACCCAGCTGGCTTTCATGTCTAAGGCGGGACTAGAACTCACCATCTCCTGGCGATTGGCCCAAAGTCACCCAACTGGCTTTCATGGCTAAGGCGGGACTAGAACTCACTGTCTCCTGGCGATTGGCCCAAAGTCACCCAGCAGGCTTTCATGGCTAAGGCGGGACTAGAACTCACCGTCTCCCGGTGATTGGCCCAAAGTCACCCAGCCGACTTTCATGGCTAAGGCGGGACTAGAACTCCCCATCTTTGGGCGACTGACTCCAACTAACCTGGCTGCTTTTCATGCCTCAGGTGAAACTAGAACTCCCCGTCTCCTGGCGATGGGCCCAAAGCCAACTTTTATTCCTAAGGTGTGACTACAACTGACGCTCTCCCGTCTCCTCGCATTTTTGAACCCCTGGACAAAACGAGCTCTGGATAGAAAAGGCCCAGGCAGGGGGGAGGTCAAAAAAGTCAAGATGGCTGCCCCAGAGGGCCATGACACACCTGGAAGCATCACACATAAAAAGGGGGCGGAGCTTCAACTAGGCCCTGGCAGCCATCTTGAGCCATTTTAACCAGGCCTGGGTGCGGGGTCTGCCCGACTCACCTGTCAGGAATCCCAGGCTGAGATACAACTGGAGCAAGGTGGTGCTGAACGCGGCCGCCAAGAGGCCCAGCGAAGAGAGGAACCCCCCCAGCATGACGACCGGACGGGCGCCGTAGCGGGTGCTTGCCGCCGTGCCCAGGGGACCTGCCAGGAAGAAACAGCGAGTCGGGGTGTGTGTGTATGTGTGTGTGTTGGAAAGCGCCCCCCTTTCGCAGCGCGGAAAAGAACCGCCGGTTGTTAAAACGCGTCGCAACTGATTTTACCACCTTTGGCCTCCGCCGTTAAGCGAGTCATGCGGTCGTTAAGCACAGCTGGCTTCCCTTACTGACTTTGCTCATTGGGAAAGTGGCAAATCCACCTTAGATCAGCTCGGCCGCAAAGGCGAGGACAGAAAAGTGGAGTTCCGGGTGCGAAAAGCGGAAACGGCGGAGCGAAGCAGGGCCTACTCGGCGTTGGCCCCGCGGGGCAAACTTACTTGCAAACTGCTTGGTGGCCAAGGTGATGCCCGTCACCCAGGACACCTGGGCCGTGGTGGCCTCGAAAGCCCCCACCAGGCCTTCCGAGAGGGCGCCCAAGGAGCGCAAGACGCCGAAGGTCAGCGAGTTAGCAAGGAACCCTGCGAGGACGACCATCCAGCCCCAACCTCCATCCGGGGGGTCTTCCAGGGGCAGCATCTTCTCCAGCTGCTGGGTGGGGGGCTTCAAGAGGAGGTCTGCTGGCCCCACACTTGGTCCTGGGGAGGAAGGTGAAGCGTCTAATCAATGCGAGAAGCAACCTGAAACTAAGGAGAACCTTCCTAAGAGGCAGGACGATGAGCCAGGGGAACTGCTTGCCACCAGAAGGTGTGGGTGATCCATCACTGTAGGTTTTTAAGAAGAGACTGAAAGAATATAGGTTCTCCTTATCCGAGCGGGAGATTGGACTAGATGACCTCCCAGACCCCCTTGTCACTTGTCTGAAAGAATATAGGTTCTCCTTGCCTGAGTAGGAGGTTGGACTAGATGACCTCCCAGGCCCCCTTCCAGCTCTATGCTGATTCGTCCATAGTTTGCAAACGGACAAAATCTGGACCAGTGCAATACTAATCCTGGCCTGCAGGGGCCAGGCGCGGCCTTCCGTCAACCGTGGGGAAGCCATGTGTGTCGAGTTATGCTGAGCACAGCTGTGTTTTATGTGGTATTGTGTAGCAGAAGATTGTGAGTTGCTGAGTTGTCCAAAGTAAAAAAACGAGGAAGAGGGATTTTTGTATGATGTAGTTAGTGTACATTACATTATATACAGGTATTATTATTGTTGTTGTTGTTGTTATTATTATTGTTGTTATTGTTATTATTAATTAGTCCTCGACTTACAACAGTTCATTTAGTGACCGCTCGAACTTACCACAACACTGAAAAAAGTGACTTACCACTGTTTTTCACACTTAACGACCATAGTAGCCATCCCCGGGGTCCCGTGACCCACTTAACGACCGTGTAGTCAACTTACCAACCGCAGCAATTCACTTAAGGACGGTTGGCCAGAAAGGTCGTAAAACGGGGCAAAAGTCGTTTCAACAAGTGTCTCGCTTAGCAACGGAAACTTTGGCCTCGGGTTTGCGGTCGTAAGCTTGAGGACTGTTCGTGCTTTAGCCCCCCCCCACCTCTCCGTTCCTTTCCCCCTCGCCGAAAAGCAGATCCAGTCAGATCCCCTTCATGGAGTTTGCAATAAACCTGGTTTAATTTACTAAGCCGAAGAGAGGGAAAGGGAAGAGAACCTGGAACCGGTTGAGTCAGTGTGTGTGTGGGGTGTGTGTGTGTGTGTCAGCAGGGGAAGTGGGGGGGGCGCTGAGCTGTAACCCCATCTGCCTGGGAAACCGGCTTTTTTTTCCGTAAGCCAGGATGTGTTTGTTGCAAAGGGCGATTTTCACGTTAAAATTATACTGGCTTTGCCCACGATTGGGATTGGTGCTTTTTTTTAACCTGGAATTGCAGGTGAGAAGGTGGGGGGGCTTGCAAAGAGGAGGGGAAAAAATGCAGACAGGGACCCTCCCCCCAGGGGAGAAGGACTTGGGGGGGGGCAAATGGAGACCCAAGAAAAGCCCCCCGCCCACATTCTGGAGGGACACCCTTTATGGGGGGGGGGAGGAAATTGGTACCCGGTCAAGGCTTAGGAGCAGACTGACCCCAATTCCCTCCGGCCGGTTGCGGAGTTATGGGGCAGGGCAATTCAGCCCCTCTGGGTGGGGGGGGGTCGCAGGTTACCTGTGCCCCCCCCCAAATGAAGGTGTGAGAATCCTAGACAATAGGATGAGACCTGTATATGGAGTGAGAGAAATAGGGGAAGGTATACTATATAAAATCTCGGGGGGAATCAAGGTGTGGGGCAAATTCCCCCCCTTTCTCATTCCCTAACCCCACCCACCCACCCAAATTCTTTACCTGCAGCAGCTGAAGGTAGAGAGGCACCTTTAACCAGGTGAGGCTTTCTCTGCCAGGAGCCGGGAGGGGGGCAATGAGCACCCACCAAAGGGCAGCGTTGGCGCTCCTGCAAAACAACTGCAGAGCCGCAAACTGGCTCTGCCCCCAAGGAGGGAGGGAGGGAGGGAGGGAAGGAGGGGCTGACCCCCCCAGGATTAACAGAGGGCACAGGGAGGGGCCGGCTGGCACCCATTTGTCGCTGACCCCCCCTTTCCCAAACTTCGAATCACAGTTTGTGCCTTCGAGCGAAGTCCATTTGGTCAGTTCCAAGGTTGAAATAAAATATTCTGAGGATAATCCTGGACCGGATGTGTGACAGTGAAGGCGGCAGTTGGGTTGAACATGTGCAGAGGGCTTGGGTTCCATGGCACAAAGCAAACAGGGCTCTTTCGAGGAGGCCGTACCCCTGTGTTACAGGTAGTCCTCGACTTAATGGCCATTTGCTTAGTGGCTTCTATTCTATTCTATTCTATTCTATTCTGTATTTTATTATTCTATTCTATTCTATTCTATCTATTCTTTATTCCTATTCTATTCCTTGTTTCTATTCTATTCCTTATTTCTATTCTATTCTATTCTGTATTTTATTATTCTATTCTATTCATGTTCTCCTATTCTATTGTGCTCTGTATTTTATTATTCTAGTCTATTCTGTATTTTATTATTCTATTCTGTTCTTCTATTATATATCTTATTATTCTATTCTATTCTTTATTTTTATTCTATTCCTTATTTCTATTCTAGTCTATTCTGTATTTTATTATTCTATTCTATTCTATTCTATTCTTTATTCCTATTCTATTCTTTATTTCTATTCTATTCCTTATTTCCATTCTAATTCTATTCTATTCTTATTTTATTATTCTATTCTATTCTAATTCATTTTCTCCTATTCTAGTCTATTCTGTATTTTATTATTCTATTCTATTTTTCTATTCTATATTTTATTATTCTATTCTATTTTATTCTTTATTCCTATTCTATTCCTTATTTCTATTCTATTCCTTATTTCTATTCTATTCTATTCTGTATTTTATTATTCTATTCTATTCATGTTCTCCTATTCTATTGTGCTCTGTATTTTATTATTCTAGTCTATTCTGTATTTTATTATTCTATTCTGTTCTTCTATTATATATCTTATTATTCTATTCTATTCTTTATTTTTATTCTATTCCTTATTTCTATTCTAGTCTATTCTGTATTTTATTATTCTATTCTATTCTATTCTATTCTTTATTCCTATTCTATTCTTTATTTCTATTCTATTCCTTATTTCCATTCTAATTCTATTCTATTCTTATTTTATTATTCTATTCTATTCTAATTCATTTTCTCCTATTCTAGTCTATTCTGTATTTTATTATTCTATTCTATTTTTCTATTCTATATTTTATTATTCTATTCTATTTTATTCTTTATTCCTATTCTATTCCTTATTTCTATTCTATTCCTTATTTCTATTCTATTCCTTATTTCTATTCTAATTCTACTCTATTCTGTATTTTATTATTCTATTCTATTCTATTCATTCCACTAACTGGATCCAGCTGTGGTATCTCATCTAGCCCATATTCTATCGTTTTATGAAGAAGTTTATTACAAGACACTCAATCAATGAATCAGAATAGAGCTGGAAGGGACCTTGGAGGTCTTCTAGTCCAACCCCCCCCCCGCCGCTGTGGCTGTCCAGTCTCTTCTTAAAAACCTCCAGTGAAGAAACACCCACTTCTGGAGGCAGGTGGTTCCACTGGTTAAGTGTTCTCATTATCAGGAAATTCCTCCGTAGTTCCAGGCTGCTTCTCTCCCTGATTAGTTTCCATCCGTTGCTTCTTATCTTGCCTTCAGGTGCTTTGGAGAATAGCTTGACTCCCTCTTCTTTGGGGCAGCCCCTGAGACACTGGAACACGGCTATCATGTCCCCCCTCGTCCTTCTCTTCATTAAACTAGACATATCCAATTCCAGCAACCGTTCCTTATATGTTTTAGCCTCCAGTCCCCTGATCCTCTTTGTTGTTCTTCTCTGCTCTTTTTCCAAAGTCTCAACATCTTTTTTTTTTTTTTTGTAATGTGGTGAACAAAACTGCAGGCAACATTCCAGGTGTGGCCTTACTCAGGCTTTCCACAGAGGTACTAATACTTTGCGTGATTTTGATTCGATGCCTCTGTTTATATAACTCGGTTAAACCCATTGCTAAGAACCAGATAAACTACGTCAGGGCGTTCCCTGGATCTACTAAACGGGGAATTAACTCTTTCAAAAGTTTAGAGAAAGTAAACGGTGAACAAGTAGGCGATTTAGACGCCTAGGACAACTTTCCAAAACAAACAAGAGCCGTAGCGTATAATAAGCTCAGCTTACAGGAGTCTTTGCAGAATGACAGAGTGGGAAGGGACCTTGGAGGTCATCTAGCCCAACCCCCTGCTCAGGTAGGAGACCCTTACAGAATCATAGAAGGAAAGAGTTGGAGAGGACCTCGGAGGTCATCTAGCCCAACCCCCTGCTCAAAGAGGAGAGCCTTAACAGAATTACAGAAAAACGGAGATGGGACTTTGGAGGTCATCTAGTCGAGCCCCCTGCCCAAGCAGGAGACCCTTACAGAATCATAGAATGGCAAGAGTTGGAAGGGACCTTAGGTGTGGGAATTTTACGATATGTGGACTTCAACTCCCAGAATTACCCAGCCAGGGTAATTAAAGGAATATCTTTGTTTGTCGATTATCAGCTGGCCCATAATTTACCATTTTATGAGCAAGTCTGTCACTCCGTTAAAGCCTTTGCTGAGTTCCAGGTAAACTATTGTTCAGGGCGTCCCCTGGATCTACTAAACGAGGAATTAACTCTTTCAAAAGTTTAGCTGGTAAACAAAATGCGAAAAAGCATGCGATTCAGACCCGAATGACAAATTTCTAAAACAGACAACGGCATGCAGAAAGCCCACTTTTTGAGATCTCCGGCCTAAGAATCCAGCGCGCGACAAATAAACCATCATTCTGGTCCTCTGGAAAACCACGTTTATTCCCAAATAAAACTCGCAGCTTTCCCAGCTCCAAAAACACCCCGTTTTTCACCTGTCCAGGCCGAGACGTCGCGGTTTCCAGACTCAGAAAAGAAAAAAGAAAATTAGATTTGGGGTGCAAATTGATTCCGTATCTGTCCCTTTAGCATCGTTCCGCAATGATAGACCGTTCAAAAGCAATAAATTAAAACAAAAAACAAAAAAAAGGGAAGATCAGAAAGGAAAAACAGAAGGGTTCAAAATGAAAAGAGTGTCCATGCGCCGATCTTCGCTGTCCTGGCTGTTTTCTGGCCAAGTTCACCCCAAAAGCAGCTTCGAGAAGTAAGTTTGGGGGACCCCATGCTTAAAACCAGCCCCTTGGACCTCGGGAGTCCATTTGCAACTTAATTTGATTTTTTGGACAGCCCAGCCACCCCGTCGGTCGTGGACGCTGGAAATGACCACGTTCCTGGTGGGTTTCCCGTCTTGAGGAAGCTTCTCCAGGGCTTCACAAAGTGGTGAGTCTCAAGTCATAGGCCCTCCTGGACAGCTTCTCAGGATCGTTGGACGCCATGAACGAGAAATCTTGGAAAATGTCCAGGTACGTTTCATCCCCTGGAATCAAAAGAACGAGCTGATTATTATGCCTTGGTAAGGCCACACGGGGGATATCGCATCCAGTTTTGGTTGCTAATCACCAGGAGACGGTGAGTTCTAGTCCCGCCTTAAACATGAAAGTCGGCTGGGTGACTTTGGACCAATCACCAGGAGACGGTGAGTTCTAGTCCCGCCTTAAACATGAAAGCCAATTGGGTGACTTTGGACCAATCACCAGGAGACGGTGAGTTCTAGTCCCGCCTTAAACATGAAAGCCAATTGGGTGACTTTGGACCAATCACCAGGAGATGTTGAGTTTTAGTCCCGCCTTAAACATGAAAGTCAGCTGGGTGACTTTGGACCAATCACCAGGAGACGGTGAGTTCTAGTTCCACCTTAAATGTGAAAGCTGGCTGGGTGTATTTGGGCCAATCTCCAGGAGACGGTGAGTTCTAGTCCCGCCTTAGGCATGAAAGCCGGCTGACTTTGGACCAATCACCAGGAGACGGTGAGTTCTAGTTCTGCCTTAAACATGAAAGTCGTCTGGGTGACTTTGGACCAATCACCAGGAGACGGTGAGTTCTAGTTCTGCCTTAAACGTGAAAGCTGGCTAGGTGACTTTGGGCCAATCACCAGGAGACGGTGAGTTCTAGTCCCGCCTTAAACGTGAAAGCCGGCTGGCTGACTTTGGACCAATCACCAGGAGACGGTGAGTTCTAGTCCCGCCTTAAACGTGAAAGCCGGCTGGCTGACTTTGGACCAATCACCAGGAGACGGTGAGTTCTAGTTCTGCCTTAAACATGAAAGTCGTCTGGGTGACTTTGGACCAATCACCAGGAGACGGTGAGTTCTAGTTCTGCCTTAAACGTGAAAGCTGGCTAGGTGACTTTGGGCCAATCACCAGGAGACGGTGAGTTCTAGTCCCGCCTTAGGCAAGAAAGCTGGCTGACTTTGGACCAATCACGAGGAGACGGTGAGTTCTAGTCCCGCCTTAAACGTGAAAGCCGGCTGGCTGACTTTGGACCAATCACCAGGAGACGGTGAGTTCTAGTCCCGCCTTAGGCATGAAAGCTGGCTGACTTTGGACCAATCACGAGGAGACGGTGAGTTCTAGTCCCGCCTTAAACATGAAAGCCGGCTGGCTGACTTTGGACCAATCACCAGGAGATGGTGAGTTCTAGTCCCACTATAGGCGTAAAAACCATTTAGGTGACTTTGGGCCTATCACCAGGAGACGGTGAGTTCTAGTCCCGCCTTAGGCATGAAAGCCGGCTGACTTTGGACCAATCACCAGGAGACGGTGAGTTCTAGTTCTGCCTTAAACATGAAAGTCGTCTGGGTGACTTTGGACCAATCACCAGGAGACGGTGAGTTCTAGTTCTGCCTTAAACGTGAAAGCTGGCTAGGTGACTTTGGGCCAATTACCAGGAGACGGTGAGTTCTAGTCCCGCCTTAAACATGAAAGCCAATTTGGTGACTTTGGACCAATCACCAGGAGATGTTGAGTTCTAGTCCCGCCTTAAACATGAAAGTCAGCTGGGTGACTTTGGACCAATCACCAGGAGACGGTGAGTTCTAGTCCCGCCTTAGGCATGAAAGCCGGCTGACTTTGGACCAATCACCAGGAGACGGTGAGTTCTAGTCCCGCCTTAAACATGAAAGCCAATTGGGTGACTTTGGACCAATCACCAGGAGATGTTGAGTTCTAGTCCCGCCTTAAACATGAAAGTCAGCTGGGTGACTTTGGACCAATCTCCAGGAGACGGTGAGTTCTAGTCCTGCCTTAGGCATGAAAGCCGGTTGGGTGGGCCAATCACCAGGCGATGGTGAGTTCTAGTTCCTCCTTAAACGTGAAAGCCAGCTGGCTGACTTTGGACCAATCACCAGAAGACGGTGAGTTCTAGTCCCACTATAGGCGTAAAAACCATTTAGGTGACTTTGGGCCTATCACCAGGAGATGGTGAGTTCTAGTCCTGCCCCAGCTCAATTTTCACCTGAAAATTCACATTTCGCAAAAGATCGTCCAGGTTAAAACTGAGTGTGTCTCCCTCTTCCATCTCCTCCCTCCATTCCTTCATACAGAGGGCATGACTTACCTGACTGGCCTAAGGCCAGCTCAGCTTCCCGCATCTGGGCCAGTCGCAGCCTTCAGAGAAAGGAATGAGAAGCCATGATGGGTTCTTACTAAGTCCCCGAGTGTTATCCTGGTTATCCCTAGCCCTCCCAAACAAGGCGCCCTCCCTCCCACCCAAACTACCCCGCCCAACCTAGTCTCCACCATTCGGCCAATTTGGGGACCTGCATCCCAACTTTAGGGAGACAGCATTACTCTAACCGAGACTAGACTGCTGTAATGCATCCTTTACGGGGCTACCCTAGGAGATGGTTCAGAAGCTCCCACCGGTGCCAGGTAAGACCCGAGTGGGAAGCTTCCAGGCTGTTTTCAGTCCTGGTTACCTTGACATGCTCAGAGGGCAAGCGGGAGGGACAGAAACCATGGCAAACACGTCAGGTCTTAGAATTGGTCATGGACCCCCCACACACACTGGAATAAGAGGGAGGGTCTGGATGGCCACTGGGTGACCCATGCCATGTGAGAATTAGAGTGGGAAGGTTCCAGGCTGGGTTCAGTCCTGGTTACCTTGACATGCTCAGAGGAAAAACACGTCAGGTCTTAAAATTGGTCACGGAACCTCCCCACTGAAATAAGAGGGAGGGTCTGGATGGCCACTGGGTGACCCATTCCATGTGAGAATTAGAGTGGGAAGCTTCCAGGCTGGGTTCAGTCCCGGTTACCTTGACATGCTCAAAGGAGAAACACGTCGGGTCTTAAAATTGGTCACGGAACCTCCCCACTGAAATAAGAGGGAGGGTCTGGATGGCCACTGGGTGACCCATGCCATGTGAGACCAGAGTGGGAAGCTTCCAGGCTGGGTTCAGTCCCGGTTACCTTGACATGCTCAGAGGAGAAACACGTCAGGTCTTAAAATTGGTCACGGAACCTCCCCACTGAAATAAGAGGGAGGGTCTGGATGCCCACTGGGTGACCCATTCCATGTGAGAATTAGAGTGGGAAACTTCCAGGCTGGGTTCAGTCCTGGTTACCTTGACATGCTCAGAGGGCAAGCGGGAGGAACCTACACCACGGCAAACATATCAGATCTTAAAATTGGTCACGGAACCTCCCCACTGAAATAAGAGGGAGGGTCTGGATGGCCACTGGGTGACCCATGCCATGTGAGACCAGAGTGGGAAGCTTCCAGGCTGGGTTCAGTCCCGGTTACCTTGACATGCTCAGAGGAGAAACACGTCAGGTCTTAAAATTGGTCACGGCACCTCCCCACTGAAATAAGAGGGAGGGTCTGGATGGCCACCGGGTGACCCATTCCAGTGCAATAAATCCACCTTCGGCACCCCAACGGACTGCCTCTCTTTCTCCGGCATGCAGATGATTTCAGAAAAGCCCGAAGGTCAAGACACCCCCTCCCAATAAGTCCCCCCCCCTTCCTCCTGCGCCGAGATTGGTCCCCCCCCGCCCTGGCACCCCGTCCTCTTACAAGGTCACGATGTCCGCATTAGCCGAATCGATGGCGATGCCCAGCGGGTCCTTGCCCTCCCCGTCCACGGCGTTCATGTTGGCACCGCGTTTGAGAAACAGGCAGGCCAGCCTGGGGGGGGGGGAAGAGGAAAAAAGGGGGTACGGAGGTTTCAATAAGAGGTTCCTGGAGAATCGACAGATCGCTTTGGCTATTTGGGGCGAAAATAAAATTACGGACACAATTGGTTGAGTTCCAAATTTCCGCCGCTAAGCGAGGCAGTTGCTCAGCAACGTCTTGCCACAGATGTTTGAGGGGGGGATTGGGCTGGGGGGGGAGTCATCGCTCCTTTTTTTTTATTTGATTAGGGTATAAAATACAAACACAATACAAAACCAAACAGTAGGAAAAGTAGGAGAGAATTTAGAATAGAATAGAAGCTGGAAAGGACCTTGGGGGGGGGGTCTTCTAATCCAGCCCCCTGCTCAAGCAGGAGACCATTTCAATTAATCAATCAGTCAATCAATCAATCAAAGAATAGAATAGAATAGAAATAAGAAATAAGAAATAAGAAATAGAATAGAATAGAATAGAATAGAATAGGAATAGAATAGAATAAAGAAAATATAGAATAGAATAGAATAGAATAGAAGCTGGAAGGGACCTTGGAGGTCTTCTAGTCCAGCCCCCTGCTCAAGCATATTTCAATTAATCAATGTCAATCAATCAATCAAATAGAATAGAATAGAATAGAATAGCATAGAATAGAAATAAGAAATAGAATAGAATAGAATAGAATAAAGAAAATATAGAATAGAATAGAATAAAGAAAATATAGAATAGAATAGAATAGAATAGAATAGAATAGAATAGAATAGAATAGAATAGAATAGAATAGAATAGAAGCTGGAAGGGACCTTGGAGGTCTTCTAGTCCAGCCCCATGCTCAAGCAGGAGACCCTATACCATTTCAATTAACCAATCAATGAATCAATCAATGAATCAATCAATCAGAGAGAATAGAATAGAATAGAATACTGAAAGAACGTAATAGAACAGAATTAGAACAGAACAGAACTGAACAGAAAAGAACAGAACAGAATGCAGAATAGAATAGAACAGAATAATGAAAGAACGTAATAATAGAATAGAATAATAAAATTAGAATAGAATAATAAAATTAGAATAGAATAGAAATAAAATTAGAATAGAATAGAAATAAGAATAGAACAGAATAGAATAGAATAGAACAGAGTAGAGTAGAATAGAATAGAATAGAAGCTGAAAGGGACCTTGGAGGTCTTCTAGTCCAGCCCCCCTGCTGAAGCAGGAGAATCAACCAGACAAAGAGGAGAGTCCTACCCGGTGTGGCCTAAGATGGTGGCGTGGTGCAGTGGTCCTTGCCCTTTGGAGTCCGCCTGGTTGACGTTGGCTCCATTTTGAAGCAAAAATTCACACGCCAGCAATGAATTCTGGATAAAAACACACAAAAACTTGTGGTCCCAACAGCAAAGGAGAGGCAGGACAGTCTGGGACAAGCCCCTCCCCATAGTGACATCACTCAACAAGCCCCTCCTTCCCACCCTTGTTACGACACCCCAATGAGACGATATCACTGCACATGCTCAGAGGCCACAAAAGCGCCTTGCCGACAGGCCCGTTTTTCGCCGGCCAGCCCACATTTTTTTGTCTGTTTTTTTCCCAGCCTGTGCTTAGATTTCTTTCTCATTTTTCCAGTGATCAAATCACAGGCAGTCCTCAACTTACGACCATGATGGAGTTCCCCCTTGACCCTGGAACACTGCGACCGTCATAAGTGTGAGTCAAGGGGCAAGCGTCCAAATTTTGGAGGATGCGACGGTCGTAAGTGTGAAAAATGGGCACAAATTGCTTTTTTCCCCAGAGCCGTTGTAACCTTGGATGGTCGCTAAATGAAACCGTCGTAAGTTGAGGACTTCCCTGCCTGTCAATGCTTGGGGCGCGGCTGTCAAGCCGAACCCGTCAGCCCTCCCCACCCTGGACGGGCAGACTCACAGCAGCGACGGCCTGGAGCAACGGGGTCCGGCTTTCCTGGGCCGTGTTCACCCAGTTTACGTCCGCCCCGTGAGCCAGAGCGTCCGCCATGGTGGGCAAACTGGGGGGCGCGGCGGCCGCGCGGTAGAGCAAGGCGCCCGGGTGCAAATTGCGCAGGTCCTCCGACGCTGGGGTAGCCCGACTCGGGGAGATGCCCTCGCGGGCTCCTAGGAGAGGAAGCAGGAACGGTATGACAAAAGAGCAAGGCCTTTAGGGGGTCCTCGTTTAGCGACCGTCATCGGGACCGGCAACATAGTCGTTAAGCGAGACGGGTCCCTAAGTCAAACCCTATCTGTGCTTATAATCTGACTTTCCTTTGGGCTGTACAGACCCGTAACGTCAGGAAGGCAAGAATTGGGGTTAAAGTGGCTTTTTCGTCGCTGGGAAGGGTCGATAAAGGGGGCGGTCACTAAAGGAGGACAGCAATCTCTGACTAAAAGCCTTACACACCAGCTCTCATCGTCCCCCCCCCCAGGGCCAGGAGGGGGGGAGGGAAGTGGGGAGAGCCATGTTTTGACCTAGGCCTGGATTTTGAAGGAGGGAGAGGGGAGTGGAAGAAGGGAAGGGAGGAAAGAAGGGAGGGAGGGAGGGTAGATAGAAGAGAAAGGGAAGGAAGGAGAGTGGAGCAAAGAGAAGGGAAATGAAAAAGAGAAAAAAAGAAGGAAGGGAGGGAAGGGAAGGAGAGAGGGAAGGAAGAAAGGAAGAAAGAAGAGAGGGAGGGTAGGTAGGAAGAAGAGAAAGGGAAGGAAGGAGAGTGGAGTGAAGGGAAGAGAAATGAAACGAAAAAGGAAAACAGGGAGGGAGGGAGGGAAGGAAGAAAGAAAGAAAGGAAGGAAGAAAGAAAGGAGAGAGGGAGAGAGGAAGGGTAGGTAGGAAGAATGGAAAGGGAAGGAAGGAGAGGAGAGGGAAGGGAAATGAAAAAGGAAAAAAGGGAGGGAGAGAAGGAAGGAAGGAAGGAAGGAAGGAAGAGGAGAGGGCGGGTAGATAGGAAGAAGAGAAAGGGACGGTAAGAGAGGGGAGCAAAGGGAAGGGAAATGAAAAAGAAAAAAGAAGGAAAGGAGAGGGAAGGAAGCAAGGAAGAAAGAAAGAAAAGAGAGAGGTGAGAGAGGGAGGGTAGGTAGGAAGAAGAGAAAGGGATGGAAGGAGAGTGGAGGAATAGAATAGAATAGAATAGAATACAGAATAGTATAGAATAGAACAGAATAGAATAATAAAATATAGAATAGAATAATAAAATATAGAATAGAATAGAATAATAAAATATGTAGTAGAATAGAATAGAACAGAATAATAAAATATAGAATAGAATAGAATAGAATACAGAATAGAATAGAACAATATAGAATAATAAAATATAGAATAGAATAGAATAAAATACAGAATAGAATAGAATAGAACAGAATAGAATAGAATAAAATATAGAATAGAATAGAATACAGAATAGAACAGAATAGAATAATAAAATATATAATAGAATAGAATAATAAAATATATAATAGAATAGAATAGAATAGAACAGAATAGAATAGAATAATAAAATATATAATAGAATAGAATGGAATGGAATGGAATGGAATAGAATAGAATAATAAAATATAGAATAGAATAATAAAATATAGAATAGAATAGAATAATAAAATATAGAATAGAATAGAATAGAATACAGAATAGAATAGAACAATATAGAATAATAAAATATATAATAGAATAGAATAAAATACAGAATAGAATAGAATAGAATAATAAAATATATAATAGAATAGAATAGAATACAGAATAGAATAGAACAATATAGAATAATAAAATATATAATAGAATAGAATAGAATACAGAATACAATAGAATAGAACAGAATAGAATAGAATAAAATATAGAATAGAATAGAATACAGAATAGAACAGAATAGAATAATAAAATATATAATAGAATAGAATAATAAAATATATAATAGAATAGAATAGAATAGAACAGAATAGAATAGAATAATAAAATATATAATAGAATAGAATGGAATGGAATAGAATAGAATAGAATAGGAGCTGGAAGGGACCCTGGAGGTCTTCTAGTCCAGCCCCCTCACCCACCCCACCCCCGTCTTACCTGTGTTCCGGCGGATGTGGCCCGGCGGCTTAGGCTTGGGAAAGGGCCTCGGGGATCTCTCCGGCCCTCGGGGGGGCTCTCTGCTGCGACTCAGGGCCCCCCCAGTGTTGGGGAACTTGGTGATAAACTTCCTCTCCACGTATTTGGCCCGGATCCAGGCCTCCTTTTCGGATCTGGACAGAGAGGTTTTTGCACTTCAGGAGGGGGGGGGAGAATTATGATCTGTCGTACTCTCGCACTCAGAACCTTTGAAGGTTTTGTGTGTGTGTGTGTGTGTGTTTGTCTGTGTGAGGTTTAGGGCACAAGCTTCTCCGAATTTGCACAAGCCCCCTGTAGGATTAGAGCGGAACCACAGGTGGCCCTGCAGGTGTCCCGCGAGGCCATCTAGAGGCCAAGACATGTAACTGCAGCCCTTCATGGGCGCCCCTGGAGGGCAGGTGTGGAGACACCGCAAAGGGGGAAAAAAAAGGCCCGGATGACCCCGGTGACTTCATTGACAATCCGGGGGGGGGGCAGGGGGGGGTTGATAGAGGGGGAGGGGGCTTCTTACCTGGAACTTCCTGGCTGGGGGCGCTTCATGTTCATTTCCTCCACCCGGGCCTCGTAGATCTGGTTGATGACTCGGTTGCCCAGCACGGACATCAGCTGTGAGGGACAAGGGGGGGGGGCGAAGGAGGGGGGGCTTCATCTCAGCGTCTGGCCTACACTACAGGGTCCTAACTCCAAGTGGTAGGGGAGGAGTAGGGCTGGAGAAGAGGAGGCTAAGGTGTCCGGCCGCTGTTCGGTATGCCCAAAACACTGGAAGCTTCCTCTCCTCTCCTCTCCTTCCTTCCTTTCTTCCTTCCTTCCTTCCTTCCTTCCTTCCTTCCTTCCTTCCTTCCTTCCTTCCTTCCTTCCTTCCTTCCTTCCTTCCTTCCTTCCTCCTCTCCACAAACCCCTAGTCCTGATGTTGTTACCTAATCGGGTCATGAAACGTTTGCAAGAAAACTTCCAAGCTCAGAGAGCACCAAGGACCCCACAGTCCTTCCTTCCTTCCTTCCTTCCTTCCTTCCTTCCTTCCTTCCTTCCTTCCTCCTTTCCTTCCTCCCTCCCTCCTTTCCTTCCTTCCTTCCTTTCTTCCTTCCTTCTTCCCTCCCTTCTTTCCTTCCTTCTTCCTTTCTCCTCTCCACAAACCCGTCTTCCCCTTCCTTCCTTCTTTTTCCTTATTTACTTATTTTCTCGTTTGTCTCCTTCCTTCCTCTTCTGTTGTTTCCTTCCTCTCTCCCTTTCTTCTCTTCCTCTCCTCCCCTTATTCCTCAACCTCCCCTACCTCCCCTCTCCTTCTTTCCTTTGTCCCTTTCTCATCTTCTTTCCTTCCTTTCTCCTTTGTCTCCTTCCTTCCTCTTCTCTCTTCTTTCTTTCCTCTCTCCCTTTCTTTTCTTCCTTTTTCCTCACTCCCTTTCTTCCTCTTCCTTCCGTTCTCCTCCCTTCTTTCCTTTCTCCTCCCTCCCCCTCCTTCCTTCCTTCCTTCCTTCGTCCCTTTCCCATCTTCCTTCCTTCCTTTCTTTTCTTCCTCTCTTCCCTCCTTCCCTTCCTCTCCTCCCTTCTTTCTTCCCTCCCTTCCTCTCCTCCCCTTATTCCTCAGCCTCTTCTCTCTCCCTCCCTCCCCCGTCTCCTTCCTTCCTCTTCTCTCTTCTTTCTTTCCTCTCTCCCTTTCTTTTCTTCCTTTTTCCTCACTCCCTTTCTTCCTCTTCCTTCCGTTCTCCTCCCTTCTTTCCTTTCTCCTCCCTCCCCCTCCTTCCTTCCTTCCTTCGTCCCTTTCCCATCTTCCTTCCTTCCTCTCCCTTTCTTTTCTCCTCCCTCCTTCCCTCCCTCTCCTATTTCTTTGTTTTCTTCCCTCCTTCCCTCCCTTCCTCCCTTATTCCTCAGCCTCTCCTCTCTCCCTCCCTCTTCCCGTCTCCTTCCTTCCTTCCTTTGTCCCTTTCCCATCTTCCTTCCTCTCCCCTTTCTTTTCTTCCTCTCCTCCTTCCCTCCCTCTCCTCCCCTTTTTCCTTCTTCTCCTTTCTTCCCTCTCTCCCTCCCTTCCTTCCTTCCTCTCCCCCTTTCCCCTTCCTTCCCGGAAAGGTTGGTCCTACGGGCCAACCCAGTCCCAGATTTTGCTGTCTCTGGGCTTGAGCCTGCCTCCTGCTGGATCCGGACCCTCTTCCCCGCTCTGGATCCGAACTCGGCACACTTGCAACACCGAGGGCTGCTCATCCAGAGCGAGGCACAAGCCTTGTTAAGCTCGGCATGCTTTTTTTCAGAAAAACAGCCTATCCCCCAAATCAAGGGGTCCCTCTTAGCCCCCCCTCCACCCGGACCCCACCCACATTTCCTAATTTGGGGGCATTTTGACTTATAGGACAGCTTCTTCTGCTCCCCCCCCCCCAGTTACCTTCACCAGCTCCGGTTCCCAGGCATCCAGCGTCAGGGACCTCACCTTAGAGAAATGCACCCCCAGACTCCTAAAGCAGATAAAGTGGGGGGGGGGGAGAAATCACCATGGATCAAAGGGGGAAAAAGAAACTGCTTTTTCTCCCGGGGTCCATCAGCAGCCACGGCCCGGTCCCACCAAGGCGGCATCTACGTTGCTAGGAGGAGGCCACGTCTCCCCACCCACAGATACCCAGGGTCTTTGCCTTCCAAGGAGGCCAAGTTCGAAGAGCCCCGAGGGATTCTGGGAGTTGAAGTCCACCAGTCTTAAAAGTGGCCAAGTTCGAAGAGCCCTGAGGGATTCTGGGAGTTGAGGTCCACCAGTCTTAAAAGTGACCATGTTCGAAGAGCCCTGAGGGATTCTGGGGGTTGAAGTCCACCAGTCTTTAAAGTGGCCAAATCTGAAGACCCCTGAGGGATTCTGGGAGTTGAAGTCCACAAGTCTTAAAGTGGCCATGTTTGAAGAGCCCTGAGGGATTCTGGGAGTTGAAGTCCACCAGTCTTTAAAGTGACCATGTTTGAAGAGCCCCGAGGGATTCTGGGAGTTGAAGTCCACCAGTCTTAAAAGTGACCATGTTCGAAGAGCCCCGAGGGATTCTGGGAGTTGAAGTCCACCAGTGTTAAGGTGACCATGTTTGAAGAGCCCCAAGGGATTCTGGGAGTTGAAGTCCACCAGTCTTAAAAGTGGCCAAGTTCGAAGAGCCCCGAGGGATTCTGGGAGTTGAAGTCCACCAGTTAAAAGTGGCCAAGTTTGAAGAGCCCCGAGGGATTCTGGGAGTTGAAGTCCACCAGTCTTAAAAGTGGCCAAGTTCGAAGAGCCCCGAGGGATTCTGGGAGTTGAAGTCCACCAGTTAAAAGTGGCCAAGTTCGAAGAGCCCTGAGGGATTCTGGGAGTTGAAGTCCACCAGTCTTTAAAGTGGCCAAGTCCGAACACCCCTGAGGGATTCTGGGAGTTGAAGTCCACCAGTCTTTAAAGTGGCCAAGTTCGAAGAACCCTGAGGGATTCTGGGGGTTGAAGTCCACCAGTCTTTAAAGTGGCCAAGTCTGAAGACCCCTGAGGGATTATGGGAGTTGAAGTCCACCAGTCTTAAGGTGACCATGTTTGAAGAGCCCCAAGGGATTCTGGGAGTTGAAATCCACCAGTCTTAAAAGTGGCCAAGTTCAAAGAGCCCTGAGGGATCCTGGAAGTCCACAAGTCTTAAAGTGAGCATATTTGAAGAGCCCTGAGGGATTCTGGGGGTTGAAGTCCACCAGTCTTAAAAGTGGCCAAGTCTGAAGACCCCTGGCTTATCTCTCTCTCTCTCTCTATCAATGGGGTCCCGGGGTGGGGGAGTGAAGGCAGCCCCCCCTCTCAATTTCTTTCTGTCCGTTGCAATGGGGTGGGGAGGGGGGTTGAGTCTCACCTGTGGATGCCCGAGCACTCGATGCAAAGGGTGATGCCCAGGTTGATGCTGGCCCACTCGGGCGCCGGCTCTCGGCAGTCGCAACACTGGGCGTTGCCCTCCAGGCGCTGCACCTGGTCGACCACCTGCTTGTCCACCCCGCCCCGCAGTTTGCGGCTGGAGGGGGACTGCAATGTGGCCGACAGGGACGTGCTCCGTTCCAGGGGCTGCAAAAAAAAAAAAAAAAAAAAAAAAGCCGGCAGGCACAGGCAATCGATTCAATCAGAGTTAAGAGTTTCAAGGGACTTTGGAGGTCATCTAGTCCACCCCCCCTCCTCTGCTGGAGCAGGAGACCCTATAACAATTAGGAGACAAATGGCTGGCCAGTTTCTTCTCAAACACCTCCAGGGATGGCGTGCTCACCGCTTCGTTTCACTGATTAATCAGAATACTTGAGTTGGAAGGGATCTTGGAGGTCATCTAGTCCAACCCCCCCCCCCCCCGCTGGAGCAGGAGACCGTACAATTTGGAGACAAATGGCTGGCCGGTTTCTTCTTAAAAAACTCCAGCGATGGAGTGCTCTCCACTTCGTTTCACTGATTAATTAACAGAATACTTGAGTTGGAAGGGACCTTGGAGGTCATCTAGTCCAACCCTCCCCCCCCCCGCTCAAGCAGGAGACCTTATACAATCACAAGACAAGTGCCTGTCCTTCCTCTTCTTAAAAAAACTCCAGGGATGGAGCGCTCTCCACTTCATTAACAGAATACTCCAGTTGGAAGGGACCTTGGAGGTCATCTAGTCCAACCCCCCCTGTTCAAGCAGCAGACCCTATACAATTAGGAGACAAATGGCTGGCTGTTAAGTGAGTTTTGCCCCATTTTACGACCGTTCTTGCCACCGCTGTTAAGTGAATCACTTGCAGGTGTCAAGTTGCTAATTAATTCCGGCTTCCCCCATTGACTTTGCTTGCCGGAAGGCCGCAAAAGGGGATCACTGCGACCGTCGTAAGTATGAGTCAGTTGCCAAGCGACTGAATTTCGATCACGTGACCCTGGGGGGGATGCTGCAAGGGTCACAAGGGTGAAAAATGGCCCTCAGTCCCTTTTTTCAGTGCCGTTGTAACTTGGATCGGTCACTAAGTGAACTGTCGTAAGTCGAGGACTACCCGTGTTCCGTCCCTGTGCCGTGATTTCTGCTCTCATACAAGCAGCCCCTGACTTACAACTACAATTCAGAAAAATTCACGACTGGGCGTTAAGCGAGGCATCACGCGACCGCCTCTGACGTCTGCCACCTTTCTCGTTTCGGTCGTTAAGTGAATCCAGCTTCTCCCGCTTGGAGGCCGGCTGGAAATACCGACTGTGAGACACAGCAACCGTCGTAGTGTGAGACCCTTGCCCAGTGCCCCGGCCGCGGTCACGCGAGCCCAGGGCGATGCGACCGTCGTAACTTGAGGACCTGTCCCTTTTTTTCCCGTCGTAAACTTGAAAGCATCGTTCAACAAAAGGTCGTGAAAACGAGGACTGAGCCCTGTCGGACATCAAGAGCTGGGCCTCTGACCAGGACCTCGTTGCGATTTGGGCCAGGGGCTGCCAAGGTCTTACCTGCCCGGGGGATTCTGGGTAATCCTCGTTGTAAGCCGAGGCGATGCTGCTCTGGACGGCACACATCCAGGCCTGCAGGTGGCGCTCTGAGTCGGCCTGGAGGAGGCAGGACCTAAAGCGAGAGACGGGAGGAGAGGATAAACGACCCCGGGCTCATCGGAGACCCAGGCAGTCCTCGTCCTTACGGCCAAAATTGACCCCTACAGCCAGGAGAAGGGAGAGGGGGGGGACTCACTTGGAGGGGGAGACCACCTCGAAACAGAAGCGGCGCTCGTGGTCCGGACACGGCTTGACCGTGCAGAGGCGAAGGTCCTCCACGACCACCGTCAGCCCGTCCTGGGGAGATTGGGGGGGGGAGGAGGAGGAGGAGGAGGAGGAAGGCATCATGAGTGGTCCAGCAGGTCCCCAGACCCCCCCCTGCCAAGAAGGGCAGCGCCAGAGCCCCCCACCCGCCCCCCAGACCCTGCGGAGGCCTTTGCACCTCATTGTGATTCTTTCTTTCTTTCTTTCTTTCTTTCTTTCTCTCTTCTTTCCTCTTCTTCTCCTTTCTTCCTCTTCTTCTTCCTCCCTCCCTTCCTCTTCTCCTTCCTTCCTCCCTTTTTCCCTTCCTTCCTTCCCTCCTTCTCCCCTCTCTCCCTCCTTCTCTCTTCTTCTCTTCCTTCCCTCCCTCCTTCTCCTTTCCTCCCTCCCTCTTCTCCTTCTTTCCTTCCTTCCTTCCCTCCTTCTCCTGTCTTCCTTCCCGCTCTCCTTCTTCTCCTCCTTCCTTTCTCCCTCCCTTCTTCTTCCCTTTCTTCCTTCCCTCCCTCTTCTTCTCCTTCTTTCCCCCTCCCTCCCTCTTCTCCTTCCTTCCTTCCTTCCCCCTTCCTCTTCTTCTCCTCCTTCGTTCCTCCCTTTTTCCCTTCCTTCCTTCTTCTCCTTCCTCCCTCCCTCTTCTCCTCCTTCCCTCTCTCTCTTCTTCCCTTCCTTCTTTGTCCTGTCTTCCTTCCCTCCCTCCTCCCTCCTTCCTCCCTCCTTCCCTCTTCTCCTTCTTTCCTTCCTTCCTTCCCTCCCTTCTTCTCCTGTCTTCCTTCCCGCTCTCCTTCTTCTCCTCCTTCCTTTCTCCCTCCCTCCCCTCCTTCCTTCCCTCCCTCCTTCCTTTCCTTCCTTCCTCTTTCCATCTTCTTCTCCTTCTTTCCCCCTCCCTCCCTCTTATCCTTTCTTCCTTCCTTTTCCTCCCTCCCTCCCTCTTCTTCTCCTCCTTCCTTCCCCCTCCCTCTTCTTCTCCTCCTCCATCCCTCTTTTCCTTCCTTCCTTCCTTCCCTCCCTCCCTCCCTATTTCCTTCTTTCCTCCCTCTTCCCCTCCCTCCCTCCCTCCCTCCCAATGAAACCTGCCCCCCCAGCCCATCCAGGTGCAGCCCCCCCCACGCACACACCTTGGCCTTTTTCTGATAAACCAGCTGGCTGTTCTGGATGGAGAACCAGCGTCTGCAGAGAGGAAGAGCAGCTGGTGAGCAGCAGCATGGACGAGGGCCGAAGGGGCAGAGACAGAGCAAAAGCAGAGTCACCCTGCAGAGCCTCCCTGTGTCGGAGCAGTCTACCTCCCCGAGGACAATTGCAGGGCCGGGCTCCCTTCAGCCTCCAAGGCAAACAGGCACTGGGGGGTCCTCGGCTTGACGACCAGAATCAGGACCCGCATTTCGCTTGCCAAGCAAGGCAAGGTTGTTAAGTGAGTCACGCCTGATCAGGCCGTCACTAAGCGAATCCAGCCTCCCCCTCCCCCATCGGCTTCGTTTGTCAGAAGCTGCCGGGGATCACGTGACTCCTGCCACCGTCATAAATACGAGTCAGTTGCCAAGCACCCGGTTTTGATCACGGGAGCGCGGGGGGATCCTGCGACGGTCGTTAAGTGTGAAAAAGGGGCGCATAAGTCGCTTTTTTCACTGCCGTCGTAACTTCGAAACGGTCACTAAACAAGGGCTTGTAGTCTCCTGGGGCTGCCTGACTGGGTCTGCGGGTCTGCGTCTCAACCGTGGGAACTTTTAAGAGGGTGGGCTTCAACTCCCAGAATCCCCCAGCCAGCAGATCCGTTTTCCATAATTATATAATTATCCCACTGTCTAGCCCAGTGGTTCTCCACCTGTGGGTCGGGACCCCATTTGGGGTCGAACGACCATTTCACGGGGGTCGCCAAACAACGCAGTCCGCCATTTTTTTCCCCTTTTCCTTAGCTGTGCTACTCCCTTTTATTCTATTGGCTTTTGAAAGCCAATAGAATAGACTCTCTTGAATAGAGTCTAATTCTATTGGCTTTCAAAAGCCAATAGGAATTGTCCAGGCTGTCTCTGCCCTGCTGAGCCCGCCAAAAGTCCCATTCTGCAAACGGTGCTGCACCAGTTGAGTAGTCCTCGACTTACGACTGGTTGAGTAGTCCTCGACTTACGACCGGTTGGGGGGGGTCGCGGCATTAAAAAGGTTGAGAACCACTGGTCTAGCCTGATTAATTTAGCTTTTTCACTTTTCTGAAGTCAAGATACGTCGACGGCCTACCCACCCTCTACAGGTGGTCCTTGACTTACTTGCTCAGCGAGAAGTGAATTTTGTCCCATTTTACGGCCTCCCTCGCCACGGATGTTAAGCGAATCGGTGTGGTCGTTAAGCGAGTCACGTGGTCATTAAGCGAATCCAGCTCCCCCCCTTTGACTTTGCTCGTCAGAGGCTCGCGAAAGGGGGATCGCGTGACCCCCCCGGGAGATGCTGGCGACCGTCGTAAATACGATCCGGTTTGCCGAGCGTCTGAATTTTGATCGCGTGACCGCGACGGTCGTTAAGTGTGAAACACGGTCCTCAGTCGCTTTTGGGATAACTAAAGGGACGGTCGTTAAGTCAAGGACTGCCTGTGCTAAGAAAGTTACCCCATCAAAAACAAAAAAAACCAGTGATGTTTCTCCTTGTCCAATCCAGTTCCGGAAAACCCTTTGCTGGCTGGGGGATTCTGGGAGTTGAAGTCCACCAGTCTCAAAAGCAACGGAGAGGTCTGTGAGATGATGGGGGACAGGTGTGCTGGTCCAGGAAAGGGAGCCTGACTCACCTGCTCCAGGTCTTGAAGGCATTGCTGGCCCGTTTGTACAGGTATCCTTCCATCACCACCTGGCCCGGTTCGGCCTGGATTTCGGGGACGTCGTCGTCTTGGGTCAAATCCTGGACAAGGTTAGAAGACAACGTGAATCTGGGAGCAAAGGATCTTCTGAAGCCGATAGAAGCAACGGACGGGAACTAACCAAGGAGAGAAGCAACCTGGAACTAAGGAGAAATTTCCTGACAGTCAGAACAATTAACCAGTGGAACAACCTGCCACCAGAAGCGGTGAATGTCCAACACTGGAAGTTTTTAAGAAGAGTCTGGACAGCCATTTGTCTGAAATGGTATTACAGGGTTTCCTGCCTGAGCAGGGGGTTGGACCAGATGACCTCCAAAGTCCCTTCCAACTTTATTATTATTAATATTACTACTACTACTACTACTACTACTACTACTACTACTACTACTGCTACTATGCTCTAACACTGGAAGTTTTTAAGAAGAGACTGGACAGCCATTTGTCTGAAATGGTCTAGGGTTTCCTGCCTGAGCAGGGGGTTGGATTAGATGACCTCCAAGGTCCCTGCCGAGTCTGTTATTTTGTTATTCTTCTTCCTTCCTTCCTTCCTTCCTTCCTTCCTTCCTTCCTTCCTTCCTTCCTTCCTTCCTTCCTTCCTTCCTTCCTGGCTGAGGAATTCTGGGAGTTGAAGTCCGCAAGTCATCAAAGAGCCAAGTCTGAAGAGCCCCCGGTGTTGAGTCTTCTGAACAAAGTCCCAAGAAGGCTCCCCACCCATTTGCACCACTCAGGTGACCCCGAGGACACAGGGAAACCTCCAGGTGGCCTCAACGACCCTCTAAAAGAAGGCAAAGGGCCAACGGTCTGCAAGGAGTAGAAATCCTTCCACTCCCCACCGTCCAGTCAGAACCTGAGGAAGCTTCCGGGATGGGAAGCGAAACCTCTTCAAAGAGGAACAAAGGACGTCCAGCTGCCTCCTGAAAAAAAAAAAAAAAAGCACCTCTGGACAGTCACGAGGACCTCCGTGGACCCCCACCTTCTGTTTTATGACGGCGTGTCTCTGCTCCATGTCCCTCTTCTCCCGGGCGGATTCCAGGACCAGCTCGTGGAGCTGTAAAAGAAATGGACCCCTCAGGGCAAATGGAAGGACGGAGAAAACCCAAAAGATCACCCCGATTTCTGCAAGGCCACTGGACAGGGCAGAGAACCTAATTTTTAATTGGTCTGGTGTTTGAACCAGTTCATTAATGCTATCGCACGAGCCACATTGGAAAATAAGTCAGAGTCCCTGTTTATTCAGGAGTCTCCTTTTTCCTGGCTGGCCTTCGTCCCTCGTCCATCCATTTCCTCTTCGTCCTTCATTCTGGCACACGAGGCAGACAATCTCCCTGCGTACACAACGCGGTTTGCATTTGGGCAAACGCCTACCTTCATAATCGTGAGAAACGAAAAATAAAATGAAATATAAACCAGACGCAAAATAAAACGGGGAGTAAAGCGAAATAAAATAAAAACTGCGGTTCTACTACGGCGGGCAATAAACTAAAGTGAAACACGCCGCAAAATAAAAAGGTAAACAAACTAAAAGAGGCCGCCAGATCATATTAGAAAAGAAGTAAAACATACGATGAAATAGACAACAAAGTCAAAAATAATATCAAATAAATAGGATGCAATAAAACAAAAGATAAAATAAGAATAAAAGAAAACAATAACTTAAATAAAAAAATAAAAAAGTAAAAGAAAACTATACTAAGATAAAGAATGCGACGCAATAGAATTCAATAGACTAGAGCAGAACAGAATAGCATAGAATTATAGGATAGGATAGGATAGGATAGGATAGGATAGGATAAGAATACAATAAAATAAGAAGAGAATAAAATAAGAAGAGAATAGAATACAGAATAGAATATAGAATAGAATAGAAATAGGAATGGAATGGAATGCAAAGGAAAAGAATAGAATAGGATAGGATAGGATAGGATAGGATAGGATAGGATAGGATAGGATAGGATAGAATATAGAATAGAATAGAATAGGATAGAATAGAATATAGAATAGAAATAGAAATAGGAATGGAATGCAAAGGAAAAGAATAGAATAGGATAGGATAGGATAGAATAGAATAGAAATAGAAATAGAATATATGGAATGGAATGGAATGGAATGGAATAGAATAGAATAGAATAGAATAGAAAATAGAATAAAGATTAGAGATTAGAGATTAGAGAATAGAATGGAGTAGAGTAGAGAATTGAATTATAGAATAGAATGGAATGGAATGGAATGGAATGGAATACAATACAATACAATACAACACAACACAACACAATAGTGCCCCCCTCACCTGAACAGCCAGGCCTTTCCGATACTCTTCCAGCTGTTTCGACTCCTGGGATCCGTGCTCCAGGAAGACGGACTGGGCCTCCATAAAGGACAAGATCTGGAACGAGTGGAGGGATCAATAGGGAGACCCCTGCCCACCTCTTACAATAAGATCTGGGCTACCCTCAAAGGGTTCTTTGCAAACAGAGAGAGTTGCAGATAAAATAGGCATGAGTCCGCAGCCTTGGGGAGGGGAAGGAACTTTAGATAGGCTCAGAGGTACTATTTTGGGGGGATTTTCCCACGGGCCGGATCCCCACCTGGGCGCTGAAAACTCAAATTAGGGCTGAAATTCAGAAGGAAAAAAAAAAAAAAAAGAGAGAGAGAGAGAGAGATGTTTCTGGCATGAAAAGGCCGACTCCAGGCGGCCCCTACCTGCATTTCTCCAACTTGGCCCCTTTTAAGACCTGCGGACTTCAACTCCCAGAATGCCCCAGCCAGCCCACCGCATTGGCTGGAGAATCCTGGGAGTTGAGGTCCGCAGGTCTTAAAGCGGGCAGGTTTGACCCGCACGGGTTTACACACCCACCCCAGGGATGGCCCAGCCTCCCTGGGGCAAAACTGTGCATCGAAGCTGCCCCATGCGTCACCCTGTGCGCCGAGTGCGAATCCGGGCCCAAACTAACAAAGCAATTCAAATCGGTGCGGAATTGGGAACCAGAGACGACTCCGGCATCTTACAGATAGGCAGCCTTTGTGAAGGATGCGTCACAATGTAAGCTAGTCGTAGGCAAAACCCCGTAGCAAAAAGGCTCAAGGCTGGGGCTGATGGGGGTTGTAGTCCTAAAGACCGAGGTGGCGCAGGATTGGGGGAAAAAGGAGTTACTCACAAATTTGAGAATCTCGAATTTCTTCTTGGACTGAATGACGTTGATCTGGAAAACAGGGGAAGGGTCTGGAGTCACGGGAGGGGGGGGGGAGAGAAGATCACGAACGGACACCCCCAGACCCAGAATTTTGAGGCTCTTGGCCTCAGGGGTCTTTCAGGACCGCCCCCCTACCTGCAGTACGTAGTCGAGGGCTCGGTTGCGGAAGGTGGTCCGGGCTGCTTTGAGGGTGACCACGGCGTCTTCGGCCTCGTGGTGGCGCCGGCGGGGGACCTCGGCGTTATGGTGCAAGGCACTGGCCAGACCTTCGCTGCCCCGTTCGAATTCCTTCCGGGTCTCTTTGAAGTGCTTAATGTCCCTGGAAGAGAAAAGTCGGCATTCACATGATGCCCGTAACCCGGGTCAGCTGTATTCGCAGAAGAAGGGGAGCCAAAATTCTCACTGTTATTGGATACATATATACATATTACATATATGTAGGTCTTTGGTTATTTGGGTTTTCTCCCGCATAAAATTGGAAGTGTCTTGGCGACGTTTCGACGAAGTCCCATTCGTCATCTTTAGGCTGGTGTTTTCGGCTTCGTGCTTCCGAAAACACCAACCTGAAGATGACAAATGGGACTCCGTCGAAACGTCGCCAAGACACTTCCAATTTTACGCGGGAGAAAACCCAAATAACCAAAGACCTGCATACAAACACCTGCGAAAACCTCAGAAAACAAATATTACATATATACGTATACATATATTGTGTTTATTTATATCTCGCTTTATGTAACTCAAGACAGCGGACACGCACAACACTCCTTCCTCAGACTGTTTTTCCCAGAACAACAGTCCTGTGAGGTGGGTTGGGCTGAGAGAGAGAGAGAGAGAGAGAGAGAGAGGGACTAGCTAGCCCGAAGTCACCCAGTTGATTTTCGTTATCAAAGGTAGGATTAGAACTCGCCGTCCCGAGTTCAAGTCCTCTGCAGTCAGAATGAATCCCCGCCAATAATTTGCGGGTTGCTTTTGCACAACCCGCTAAGACAACGGATTCCCATCAGACAGACTTACTCCTTCACCAGAGTTTGTAGCTGTTGCTTGAGAGACTGCTGTGCGGTCTCCAGGAGTTCCTAGGGTGAAAAGGAGCCCTTTGAAGCAAGTTGCATGCAAGTCGATTTTAATTTATACCATTACTTTATTGAATTAAGTTTTTATTTTATTGTCTTGAACATTTTATTTTATTGCATATTCTATTCTATTCTATTCTGAACTTTATTATTCTATTCTATTCTGAATTTTATTATTCTATTCTATTCTATTCTATTCTATTCCATTCTATTCTGTATTTTATTATTCTATTCTATTCTGTATTTTATTATTCTATTCTATTCTATTCTATTCTCATATTTCTATCCCATTCTATTCTATTTTATTCTATTCTATTTTCATATTTCTATTCTATTCTATTCTATTCTAATATTGGGGGGGAAATGTGTTATTGTTTTTTGGGGGGGGGGCTTCTTCTGAGTTCTCCATCTTCTTCACAGGGTTGGGATTTTCTAGTGGTCTCCCATCCCTTTGCGTTAGGAAGTACCAATCCACTCACCTGTTGCTGTTCCATCATTCTGTTCAAGCTTTGGGAAAACTTTTCCAGGCATCCCTGGGTGGAGAAAAGAAAATTACATCACCAGAAAAACCTTGGAATGTAGAATATCCTGTCTAACCATCCCTCTTCCTAGCTGTCTTTCCGGCGTTCGGTTTGCATCAAACCGACACCGGCCCATTTGCGATCCGACTGGGAGTTTTCCCGGATTGAACTACAACTCCCACTGCACCCAGGCGACAGGGCGTACGGTAAGAGTGCTCGGCCAGTCAAGCCACCGGACCCGGCGTTTGGGAACTGACGTCGGGCGCAAGGCACTTTGCACACGCTCAGAGGTCGAACCTGGCCCTTCCTTCACGCAGGAGGAATTTTGCCTCGCCCAGTCTTCCGAGGAAGGCAGCTCGGCTAACCTCACAGCCTGGGGGTCGAAAGGCTGTCGCTTGGTCTCTCTCTCTCACACACACACAGGGGGTTGGACTAGATGACCTCCAAGGTCCCTTCCAACTTTATTATTATTATTATTATTATTATTATTATTATTATTATTATTATTATTATTATTATTATTATTATATATTGCATGCGCAAACCACACAAAATGCACAAAGACATACAAAGGTGGGACACGGTTATTCTGGAACGTATATGGAGCCCTAACTAGAGAGCAGGTATCAGTGTGTTGGAGTGTCTGGCAGTTATTGGGTTAAATCAGTGGTTCTCAACCTTTTTAATGCCGTGACCCCCCCAACTGGTCGTAAGTCGAGGACTACTCAACCGGTCGTAAGTTGAGGACTACTCAACTGGTACAGCACCGTTTGCAGAATGGCGGGCTCAGCAGGGCAGAGACAGCCTGGACAATTCCTATTGGCTTTGGAAAGCCAATAGAATTAGACTCTATTCAAGAGAGTCTCTTCTATTGGCTTTCCAAAGCCAATAGAATAAAAAGGAGGAGCACAGCTAAGGAAAAGGGGAAAAGAAAATGGCGGACTGCGTTGTTTGGCGACCCCCGTGAAATGGTCGTTCGACCCCAAATGGGGTCCCGACCCACAGGTTGAGAACCACTGGGTTAAATGCTAGGTATGTTGATGGGTCAGTGGGAGGAGTCTAAAAAGGTCATTGGGAGAGTTCCTGGACACAAGCCACATGGGAAGGTCTTTGTCTGGAAGAAGCATGGGCCGTGGAAGGTCACACAATGAGCCCGAGCCGTTATAAAGATGGTACGGAAGAGCATCATACTTTTACCTAAAGGTATGGTCTGAAGAAATGGACAAAAGATGTATTTTCCAGGAGGATCAACCACAGCATGAATGCAAGTAATCTTTCTCATTAAAATATATTTTTTGTTTCTTATAAGATCGTTTCTTTTGAGTTATCTATCTGACTTGATAGGCGTTTTCTATCAGAGTCAGAATAGTAAAAGTATGCCAGGCGGGTGCCACGAAGCGCGGTTCTCTCGCAATTTAGGGGCGCACCCCAGCCTCCCCCCTCAAGTCCACTTACGCTCATCAACGTGTCCCCCGAGGAATTCTGGGAAAGCTCCTGGATCCCCGATGCGAAGCTCTTGCTGTGGCTGCAGAACTGGCGCCCGGATTCCAGCATGGCGCCGCCCAGCTTCAGCAACTGCGGGGGGGGGGGGGGGAGAAGATGGACAGACGGGTCGGGATTGGGACACACGGACCCCAGGAACAGACATCTGGGCATCCCAGCCCCCCCCCCAGCCCTGGCACAGCGTGGGGCAGTGCCCACCCACTTAACACAGCACCAGCCTGCAGGTAGGCATCCGAGTTGGTAGGATCGGTAGCAATAAAATGGTCCTCAGCTTACGACCGTTTGTTTGGCCACCGTTTGAAGTTACGACGGTGCTGAAAAAAATAGGTTCTTGCGCTAAGCATGTTCCTATGGAGCCATGATCAAAATTTGGGCATTTGGCAACTAGCATGTATTAACAAGGCTTGCACCATCCCAGGGCATGTGACTGTAGTTTACCTTCCTTCCTTCCTTCCTTCCTTCCTTCCTTCCTTCCTTCCTTCCTTCCTTCCTTCCTTCCTTCCTTCCTTCCTTCCTTCTTTTCCTTCCTTCTTTTCCTTCCCTTCCTTCCTTCCCTTCCCTTCTTGTCTATCTTCTTTCCTTCCACCTCCTTCCCTCCCTCCCTCTCTTCCTCCCTTCCTTCCTTTCAACTTTTTTCTTTCTTTTTATGCCTCTCAATTTCCCTTCCTTCCTTTTTTCCTTTCCTTCCTTCCTTCCTTCCTTCCTTCCTTCCTTCCTTCCTTCCCTCTCTACCTCTTTTTCTCTCGCTCTTTTCCACTTCCCTTCCTTTTCCTCCACTCTCCTTCCTTCCTTTTCTCTTCTTCTTATCCAGCCAGAAGAATTCCCAGAAAGCTCCTGGATCCCCCAGGGGCAAAACTCTGGCTGTGGCTGCAGAACTGGTGCCCAGATTGCCATCTCACCCACCTTCAACTCACTTATTCCTTTAGCTTGTGATGGGCTACCTTTTTTCACTTTGCTGCAGTCAAGATCTATTACATCTACCGCGTTCCCACCGTCTACTAAGTAGGTTACCCAATTTTTTTAAAAAACGCAATAAAAGTAATCTAGCCACATTGGTTCTTCTCCTATCCATGATGAATTCCGCTAAACCCTTGCCGGCTAGGGAATTCTGGGAGCTGAAAAACCACACTTTTGGATCCAAAAGGACCTAGATCACAAAGGATCTGAATTATTCTAAGACAGATTTTGCTGTAGGCAGGAAATTGCTCTCCTGCGGTGTAAGATGGTGCAACTCAGAAGAAGAAGCTGCAGGATTTTAAAAGGCCTTTAAACCAGGGCTCTTCAAACATGGCCACTTTAAGACTGGTGGACTTCAACCCCCAGAATCCCTCAGGGCTCTTCAAACATGGCCACTTTAAGACTGGTGGACTTCAACTCCCAGAATCCCTCAGGGCTCTTCAAACTTGGCCACATTAAGACTTGTGGACTTCAACCCCCAGAATCCCTTAGGGCTCTTCAAACTTGGCCACTTTTAAGACTCGTGGACTTCAACTCCCAGAATCCCTCAGGGCTCTTCAAACTTGGCCACTTTAAGACTGGTGGACTTCAACTCCCAGAATCCCTCGGGGCTCTTCAAACATGGCCACATTAAGACTTGTGGACTTCAATCCCCAGAATCCCTTAGGGCTCTTCAAACTTGGCCACTTTTAAGACTTGTGGACTTCAACTCCCAGAATCCCTCAGGGCTCTTCAAACTTGGCCACTTTAAGACTCGTGGACTTCAACTCCCAGAATTCCTCAGGGCTCTTCAAACGTGGCCACATTAAGACTGAATTCTGGGAGTTGAAGTCCACCAGTCTTAAAGTGGCCACGTTCGAAGACCCCTGCTGTAAAACAAATATTTTGTTCTGTTCTCTCTCTGGTCTTCCAATCACCCTCCTGCAACTTCTGGATTTTTCTGCCCCCCCCCCCCAGTATGTGTGTATGTCTGTGTGTGTGTGTGTCTGTGTGTGTATGTGATATAAACAGTTTGCAAAATATTTGGTGCAAAGTTCAGGTGGGCTCTTAAACTGACAGGTCGGTCACACCTTTATCCACGCGTACCTGCCTACCGTTGTGGCCCGCTCACCTTTTCCAAATGGGTCTCCAAAACCGATACTTCCATTTCCACCGTCTCAACAGCAGCTCTGTGGGGTTTTGGGGGGGGGAGGTAAGGGAGGGGGGGGGAGAGAAAGAGAGGAAATATGTCAGCCAGGGCGGATCGGAAACCACTGCAAAGGTAAGCTGAGTGGCCGTAGCCACAGAGTCGTGCTACAATACGTGTCTTGCAATTTCCGTTCACTCTTGCAGCACCGGGTTAGGAAGAAGCAGCCACAGAGGGTGTGGAAGGGGTGGGTGGCTTTTGCAAAAGGCCCAGGCCCACGGCTGAAATTAAAATGAGGGGGTGGGCTGGGAAGAAGAGATGGGACAGCCATTTTGTCTGAAACGGTATAGGGTTTCCTGCCTGAGCAGGGGGTTGGACTAGATGACCTCCAAGGCACCTTCCGACTTTATTATTATTATGGTCTGAAACGGTATAGGGTTTCCTGCCTGAGCAGGGGGGTTGGACTAGATGACCTCCAAGGCCCCTTCCAACTTTATTATTATTATGGTCTGAAACGGTATAGGGTTTCCTGCCTGAGCAGGGGGTGGGACTAGATGACCTCCAAGGCCCCTTCCAACTTTATTATTATTATGGTCTGAAACGGTATAGGGTGTCCTGCCTGAGCAGGGGGTTGGACTAGAAGACCTCCAAGGCCCCTTCCAACATTATTATTATGGTCTGAAACGGTATAGGGTTTCCTGCCTGAGCAGGGGGTTGGACTAGAAGACCTCGGAGGCCCCCTTCCAACTCTGTTATTCTATAGGATGCTCTGAAGGTATGCTAAGTTGGGAGAGCATTCTGGGAAATGTAGAAAATAGAATAGAATAGAATAGAACTGGAAGGGACCGTGGAGGTCATCTAGTCCAGCCCCTTGCTCAAGCAGGAGAACCTACACCCTTTCAGACAAGTGGCTGTCCAGTCCCGCTCCTTTTTACGACGGTGCAGAATTTTTTATCCCGTGGATAAAAGAGGGCGATGGGCCAAGGATGCGTTCCATTCCACAGAGGGCAGTTTTTGCAACTCTGCAACCACTAGGCCTGCGGCAAGTGCGTTCCCGCAATCCCTTGCGGCACAGGTGGCTGCAGCGCCCCACACCTCAGGGGCAGCACATTGGGGAAGGGGAGAAGCAGGAGAAGAAGGCTGCAGAGGGAGGCACCCATTTGCAAGCTGTGTTTGTGCACTTGTTTTCAACCCACACACACACACGCACACACACGGCATCTGCTCCATTGCGGTCATCTCACAATTTCCTGCCTGCCTCAGAGGTTGTCAACCATTTCCCCTCCGTTGCCCAGAAACCCTCTTGATCCAGAGCGCAACTCACAACTGGGAGGCCCGTAAAACGTTGAAAGCAGCTCTTGACAAAATTAGAAAAAGGGGGCGTCGAAGTATAACTCCATGAGGTCTCCTGTCTTGGGCAGGGGGCTTGACTAGATGACCTTCAAGGTCCCTTCCCAGCCCTAGGATTCTGTGATCCTGCAGGCACCCCCCCCCCCAAAGGCAGTCGCGGCACGAACCAAACTTGGCCCCTTCTAAACAGGTTGGATTTCACGGCCTGCTGTCCTCGGCCAGCCAGGCGGCTGTGGAGGAGGGGATTTGTAGTTGAAGATCCATCAGTGTCTGCGGCTGTCCTAACCCTCCTGTCAAGGACCCACTTCCCGACATTGGTAGGCTTTGAACTATGAATCCCATCCTGTGGGGGTCCCTGAGGTGGTTTCCTTGCAGACGTTGCATGACCCAACTAGGGAACGTCATCAGTGCTAGAAGGAAGGAGGGTCTGCAGGGGGAAGGGAGGGAGGGAGGGAGGGAGGGAGGGAGGGAAGGAAGGAAGGAAGGAAGGAAGGAAGGAAGGAAGGAAAGAAGGAAGGAAGGAAGGAAGGAAAGCAGGCAGGCAGGCAGGCTATGGGGTCTTCAGTGCTCGTGAGCTTGCAAAAATTTTCTTGCAAAAATTTTATGACCCAACTAGATAACGTCATCAGTGCTAGAAGGGAGAGGGGTTTGCAGTCTGGAAAGGGGAGGAGGAGGAGGAGGAGGAGGAAGAGGAAGAAGAGGAAGAGGAGGAGGAGGAGGAGGAGGAGGAGGAGGAGGAGGAGGAGGAGGAGGAGGAACTGTGGGGTCCTTGGTGCTCTCTAAACTGGGTGGTTTTCATGCAAACTTCTCGTGACCCAACTAGGGAACATCATCAGTGCAAAAGGGAGGAGGAGGAGGAAGAGGAAGAGGAGGAGGAGGAAGAAGAACTGTGGGGTCCTTGGTGCTCTCTGAACTGGGTGCTTTTCTTGCAAACGTTTCATGACCCAACTAGGGAACGTCGTCCGTGCTAGGAGGGAGCGATCTATTTATATCCCATCGTCCACAGCCCCCTGTCTGGCTGGGGCTGACGTGCCCCACAGCCCCCTGGCCCTTGGCAGCCAAGATGGCTGCCCGCCCTCCCACGATGCACGGGGAAGGCCGCTTCTGAAAATCAGAACCAAGAAAGAGAAGTGAAGCCACATCCGGAGTCAAATGAACCGGAACGGCAGGAAACGCGAAGAGAAAAAAAACCCCTTGCAAAAGGTAAAAAAGGGGAAAAGCAGACTGACGCACGGGGGGGCACCCCAATACAAGAGGGGTGCAGCCACGCTTAGCTCGGCCGGACACGGAAACCCCCAAAAAGTCTCGCACTGGAGGAACAACGTGGCACACACACAAAAAAAGGACTTCTGGAAACAATTTCTCACAACTTTGGCAAGCTTCGGAACGGAAATATGTTGCTGGTTTGGCCTTTGGCGTCTGGGGAGAGCTCCCCCAGCTTCCTCCACCATCATCCACTGCCCACACAGCCTGCCCGCCTCCTGGCAGGGGATGATGGGCACCAGAGCATGCCTCAACCGAAGACCCGGTCGCTCAGGAGCGGAAGAGAGCGACTTTTTCCCGGAACAAGCCAAATCAAACTAGCCATCATGGCTAGGAAACAGCCAGTTGCTCTCCCTGGGAAGGGCCCAAGCCACGGGCTTGCATGGAAGGGGGGGGAAACCCCAGTGGATCCCCCCCAAACAAAAAGGGAAGAAATTAGATTTAATTTATAGATTTCCTAAACAAGATTTGGGGATTCACAAACAATTCCAAGATGGCAGCTGCATTTCCAAAGAAAAACAGGAAAGGTTCTCCTACCTAACGTAAAACCCAGACAGTCCTCCACTTATGACGGTTCGTTTAGCGACCCTTCGAAGCGGCAACAGCTCTGAGAAAAGGGAGTTAGGACCGCTTTTCACTTATAATAATAATAATAATAAAGTTGGAAGGGACCTTGGAGGTCATCGAGTCCAACCCCCTGCTTAACGACCGTTGCCGCATCGCGCGATCAAAATTCAGCCGCTCGGCAGCCGACTCGTATTTACGACGGTCGCAGCGTCCCCGGGCAAGGGGAGTCACGCGACCCCCTCTGGCGACATCCCAACGGGCAAAGTCCACAGGGCAATCCTGACTCACTTAACGACGGGGGGCCTCGCTTAACAACTGCGATGGTTTCACTTCACAACTTGGGCCGGAAAAACAGGGGGGGGGGAATTCACCGAAGCGAGTCTCACGTAGCGACGGAAATGTCCGGTTCAGTTGCGGTCGTAAGTCGAGGACTTGCAGGGATCCCTTGCCATCTTTTGCCCCCCACCCCTCTACAATTCTTCCCTTGTGAGAATTGACCTACGAGATGGGGATTGCAACACAGGTGGTGGGGCAAGGCTTCCGTGTCTCTGGGTCTGTTTGTGTTTGTGTACGTGTGTGTTTGTGTGTGTGAGACAGGAAGCCACAGGCTCTGCAAGAGGCCGTAACAGCAAACTCATTTCTCATCCACCCGCAGCCCCGTCCGTTTTTTCCAGCCTCGTGGCCGCCATAAATACCTCCAGACTCGGCTGCTTTCATTTCGGCCCATGGACAGAATCCTTGTTTGTTTGACAGGCCAGCCGAACCGTGGTTTAGTAGTGCCTCCAGTGCAAACCAACCACCTGCCTTGGGACCACGGACCGAATCTCGCGCTAACCTTGCTTAAACTGAGTTTGCGCAACAAGGTCATCCGAGACGGCTTGGTTGCTTAGGGATTGAGGATGCGGCCGCTTTAAAAGGAATTTTTTTAAAAAATTCGTTTATCGGAATATAAAATGCAAAGGAAATGAAAAGGATGGGGAGCCAGGGGCAGGGAAAAGGGAACAGGAGAAAAAAAAGGGGTGAAAAGAAAGAAAAAAAGAAACGGGGTGAGCGTTTTCCGCCCTTACGACCGTTGCAGCGCCAACATTTGACGCTGGGCCCGATTCGTATTTACGACGGTCGCAGTGGGTCTTGTGCACCCCTTTTGCGATAAGTAAGTAATCTGACTTAACAACCAGATTACTTACTTATCCACCAAAGTGATTCAGTTAAGAACTGCAGCCACAAAAGGAAAGTAAAGCGGGGCGAAGTTCACTTATATCAATGTCTCACTTAGCGACCAAAATTTTGGGCTCAGTTGTGGCTACCTACTCTTATCCTTTGCAGCAGAATATACAGCGTCCCTTTCAGTAACAACAAGCGAAGCTAACTAATCAGCAAAAGCCACAACCGAATTTTTTCATTTTTTCCATTGCAAGCGTGAAATCCAGACGCCCGTTTCTAAGTGGAAACAAAATTGTGTGTGTCCTTTTCTTCCAAGAAAGCAATCCGTTTAACCATCTCTACTTCTTTAAGGGCTGGGGATGTTGTGCGCGAAGGCAGGACACACAATCTTGTCACCCCAGGGAAGCTGGGGTAGAAGAGATTGGGGGACCCACACGCCACGGCACACAAACATACGTGCTAAACTAGGTTTGCATTGGGGCCTGTTGGCTTCCTTGCCGTTAGGGTGCAAAATAAAAGAATTAGTTCTCCTGCAATACACACACGAAAAAAATACCTGTTGTGTTGTCTAATTTCTACACAGCCACCAAGAGAGAAGCTACAGATACCTGTTGTGTTGTCTAATTTCTACACAGCCACCAAGAGAGAAGCTACAGATACCTGTTGTGTTGTCTAATTTCTACACAGCCACCAAGGGAGAAGCTACAGATGTACCGACAACTTGTCCTTTTGCCCACCACCACAATTAACACCAGTTTCTCCCCTGTCTCTCCCCGTTGCAGATATTTTGCAGCTGCAAGCTGGGGGTGAAATGTGAAGGAGGGTGGGGTGTGGGTGTGTAAAAACAGAGGACCCCCCCCACCCCAGTAGGAAGCAGATCCCTTCCCCCCCCCCCACACACATGGGAAGCAGTGCAAAATACCAGGATGTGGCTCCCCAAACTCAGGTGTGCCTCCTTGGGGGGGGGCTGACACCCACCACCCCATTTTGCTGTGAAAAGTGGGCCCACGGGACCCCCAGCAGAGGGAAGATATAGGCATGAGAAAGGGGGGGGCTGCCCTTTAAAAGGGGTCATAGAGGCAGGAAGGGCCAGAACCAAGTAAAGTGGGGGGGAGGGGATGGGGAGGGGGGAGAGAAATAAGGGGAGATGGGGGGAGGAAATGGGGGTAGATAGGGGAGGGGGGAGAAAATAGGGGGAGATGGGGGGGAATGAGAGAAATAGGGGGAGATGAGGAGGAAATGGGGGATAGATAGGGGAGGGGGGAGAAATAGGGGGAGATGGGGGTGAATGGAGAGAAATAGGGGGGAGATGGGGAGGAAATGGGGAGATAGCAGAGGGGGGAAAAATAGGGGGAGATGGGGAGGAAATGGGGAGATAGCAGAGGGGGGAGAAATAGGGGGAGATGGGGGGAATGGAGAGAAATAGGGGGGAGATGGGGGGAGGAAATGGGGGGGAAATAGGGGAGGGGGGAGAAAGGGGGAGATGGGGGGAATGGAGAGAAATAGGGGGAGATGGGGGGAGGAAATGGGGGGAAGATAGGGGAGGGGGGAGAAAGGGGGAGATGGGGGGGAATGGAGAGAAATAGGGGGGAGATGGGGGGAGGAAATGGGGGGTAGATAGGGAAGGGGGGAGAAATAGAGGCAGGGGCAGATAGGAGGAGGCAGAGAGGCGATGGAGGGAGGGGAGGGGGAGACCGGAGGAGGGGAGGGGGCAGATGGGAAGAGGGCAGGGGGAGACAAGGGGTCGTTGCCCCTTTACTCCCACCACGCTGCCTCCCAACTCCGCCCCGGGCAAACCAACGCGACCCCCCCCCCGCGCTTCTTTCCGACCTCCAGAAACCGCCGACCCCTCCCCAGCCTCCGGAGGGAGGGGGCCTGGCGGGGCAGGCGGAGAGGGCACCACCAGGTGCTCCCGCGCCCGAGCGCTCCGCCTGCCGCCGCCTGGCACCGCCAGTCCCGGCGTCGCCCGTCGGTCTCCCCACCTGAAGCGGGGCGAGTCCTTCAGCCCCTCTTCCAAGCGCAGCGGGACCGTCATCCTGGCGGGGCGAGGGCGGGGGTCTCCCGGGGGGCGCAGGCGGCAGCGGCGGCGGCTGCTCCGGCGGGGCCAGAGCTGAGGCAGGAGGTGCCGCGGAGGAGGCAGCGGCGGCGGCCGCGGGTCCCGCTCCGCCCCGGGGTGGAGTTCCGAGGTGCGGCGCATCCTGGCCGGCCAACCCCGGAGAAGGCAGCGGGGCAGAGATGCCGGCGCAGGGCGCCCCCTGCCGGCAGAAAGAAGAAACTCCGCGTCCGGGAGAGCTGTCCTGGGGGGACGCGGAGCCGGGCGCCCCCGTCTGAGGAGGGTCTTTTGCACGCTCCGGTCCTTTGCACGCGCACCACACACACACACACACACACACACACACACACACACACACGCAAACCACAAGCACACACACCCCACAAACATACAACCATACAACTATACACACAAGCACACACGCACACAGGCACGCACAAACACACACGCAGACAAACATACACTCAAGCACACCACAAACACACAAGCACAGAAATATACACACAGGCACACAAGCACACACAAACACAAACACGTGCACACGAACACCCAAGCACGCACACGCACACACCCAAGCACACAGGCACCCAAGCACGCCACAAACACACAAGCATACAAATATACAAACAAGCACACAAACACACACACACCCCAAACACACAAGCAAACCAATATACACACAAACACAAGCCCACAAGCCCACAAGCACACGCCCACACAAACACACCCGCCCACAAGCACACAAACAAGCACACAAGCACACACCCTCCGAGGCTGGACGGGACTCGCTCTACCCGGCGCGGCGCTCCGGCTCCGATTGCGGAGCGTTCTCACGTGCTACTCCCGGGTCAGAGGAGGGGAAGACCTTTCCTCCCCCCTCTCTTTCCGCAGTGGGCTTTTCCCACGGGAAAACCTTCGTCTCAGTTGGCCGGCAGGTAGGAGCGGCTCGCGTGTCCCTTAAAAGCCTCTTGTTTCTTTTGAATCGCTCCGCCACGTGTTGGAAGCGCCGTGGGAAAACCACGTGGAAACGGGTGGGAAGGAATGGAAGTTTAGGCTGTCGACACGGGTCGCTCAAACCCGCCACATTCCCCTCGGCCAAACTCAGGCTTCAGATGCTGGTTTGGGACCCGGAAGGTGGCGACTGGCGCTGCTCGGATTTCTCTGGGATTTCCTCGTGGTCTCCTTTCCAAGCGCCAATCTTAAGCTTTTTTTTTCTTCAAGGCCGGCTAGGTCAAAAGATGCAAAAGAGCCCTTGTGGGTGAGGCCAGGAGGTTATGCAAGCATCCAGGGGGGCTTTTCTCTCCCCCAAGAATCTGTTCGGAAGTATTTAAAGTCTGCCAAACAAATTGGACTCTCGAGCTTTCTATACCCCCCCCCCCAAATTTCCCTCCAGTCTTACTCATTTGAGCCAAGAGAGGGCGCTGTTGTTCCAGAAATAGATGGGACACAGTACCGCCATAATTGAGCTTAGATTAATTTAGGATGCTAAGTGAGACTTTTGTGAAAGTGAGTTTTAAGTGTGAAAAACGGTCGTCGGTCACTTTGTAACTTTGAACGGTCGCTGAACGACCTTAGTTCTAGGTTGCTTCTCTCCTTGATTTCTTATTTTTATTTATTTTTTTGCATCCAGTGGTCTGAAGGTCAGGGACTTCTGCTATTTTGCAACGGGCCTGCGCCTTATCGGTCCAAGTGGATTAAATAAACGCGGCTTCTTTATCTCTCTTCCCTTCCGATCCCGACTCATCCCGGTCTCCTTTCAACCTCCTTCGCCCCCCCCCCCCGAATCCTCCTTAAGAGCCTTAAGGACAGCAGGAGAATAAAACAATGTCTCTTTCTCATTTGGAATTTAGGCTTATGTTCCCGTTTCTCGCTTGCGGGGGTGGTAGGTGGGTGTGGGGGGGTCCTCGTGTTACGACCTTGATTGGGATGGAAGGTCTGTGACTCAGCGAGCTGGTTGTCAAGGCAGCCGTGCCTGGCTTTGTGACCTTTCTGCCATTGTTGGCTCCCCCCCCCCCCGTTGACTTTGTTGTCTGAAGCTGGCTGGGAAGGTTGAAAAATAGCAATCAGGTGAACTGGGACACTGCAGCTGTCATACTGCATATCTATATCTGTCTGTCTGTCTATATCTATATCTTATCTATCTATATCTGTCCGTCTATCTATATCCATCTATCTATATCTATCTGTCTCTGTCTATCTTATCTATATCTATCATATGTCTGTCTATCTATATCTTATCTATATCTGTCTATATCTTGTCTGTCTGTCTTCTGTCTGTCTATCTATCTATCTTATGTCTGTCTCTATCTTATCTATATCTATCTTATATCTATCTATATCTTATCTATCTATCTTATATCTGTCTGTCTGTCTATCTATATCTTATCTATATCTGTCTATATCTTATCTGTCTTCTGTCTATCTATCTTATATCTGTCTATCTCTATCTTATCTCTCTCTCTCTATCTATCTCTATCTTATATCTGTCTATCTATCTATCTATCTAATCTATCTATCTCTTATATCTGTCTGTCTATCTATCTATCTTATATCTGTCTGTCTATCTTATCTATCTCTATCTATCTTATATCTGTCTGTCTGTCTATCTATCTCTATCTTAACTATCTCTATCTCTTATATCTGTCTATCTTATCTATCTCTATCTTATATCTGTCTATCTATCTTATCTCTATCTTATATCTGTCTGTCTGTCTATCTCTTATCTATATCTGTCTGTCTGTCTACCTACCTGCCTGTCTGTCTATCTATCTAGTACTGCCTTAGGCATGAAAGCCAGCTGAGAGACTTTGGGCCAATCACCAGGAGACGGTGAGTTCGAATCCTGCTTTAGGCATGAAAGCCGGCTGGGTGACACAGGGAGGAGGAAGAGGAGGAAGAAGAAGAAGAGGAGGAGGAGAAGGAGAAGACGACGACGACTGTGGAGTCCTTGGTGTTCTCTAAGCTTGGTGGTTTCCTTGCAGATGTTTCATGACCCAACTAGGGAACATCATCAGTGCTAGAAGGGAGGAGGAGGAAGAGGAGGAAGAAGAAGAAGAAGAAGAAGAAGAAGAAGAAGAAGAAGAAGAAGAAGAAGAAGAAGAAGAAGAAGAAGAAGAAGAATAAGAAGAAGAAGAAGAAGAAGAAGAAGAAGAAGAAGAAGAAGAAGAAGAAGAAGAAGAAGAAGAAGAAGAAGAAGAAGAAGAAGAAGAAGAAGAAGAAGAAGAAGAAGAAGAAGAAGAAGAAGAAGAAGAAGAAGAAGAAGAAGAAGACGACTGTGGGGTCCCCGGTGCTCTCTGAGCTTGGTGGTTTCTTTGCAGACGTTTCATGACCCAACTAGGGAACATCATCATTGCTAGAAGGGAGGAGGAGGAGGAGGAGGAAGAGGAGAATTGTGGGGTCCTTGATGCTCTCTGAGAACCCCACAATTTAGCTTGTCACGGGTTAATTTTTCCCTTTGCTGATGTCAAGGTATATTATGTCTGCTACATTCCCACCATCTACTAAGAAAGTTACCCAATCAAGAAAAAAATAAAAAAAACACGTTCCAGGCAATTACGGACATCCAAGTCGGCTTCCGGGTCGACCGAACAATTTCATCACGATCACCTCTAGAGCAGGGCAGCTTTTTTTTTTTGTCCAAAACACTCTCATTTATTACATACAAAAAAAATATATAGATTCTCAGCAATACAATTTTTTTAAAAAAAAAAATACACAAAACGCACACAGCACCCGAAGGGATTCGTGCTTTAAATAAGGCTAGCTTTTTAATCTAAAGATCCCTCCTTTCCTATTCCAATTTGCATTCATCCCTTCCTTCGACCTCCCCAGCCCCTCCCTCCCAAAAAAAGTTAAAATCTATCCAAGCAAGCAAATGTAAGTCAAGGTAAATTTTTTCCTCCTCCACGAAATATGATTTTGCAAGAAAAGCCAGGAACATTTTATGGGGAGGAATTAAAAGGACTTGAATCAGGGATCCTCGCTTCACCCAAGGCTTCCCCAGCGCGCGTACATATATTTACACAAGCCAAACCATTTCTGAAGTCTGCAAGCAGCCTGCCAAGAATTAGTTTTAGGGGTTTTCGGCTGGGCTGCCCCACGGAGAAGGGAGACCCCCTTTTCCTGGGCGAGGTGGTGGTGGGGGGTCAAAGTTCCCTGCCCCCCCCAAAACGCCCAGTCTTGTAAACATCTGCCAGACAGCAGAGATGCCAAATGCCAATTCCTCAGTGGTTATTTGTGGGGGGGGGGAGGAAAACCCCCAGATAGTTGGGGGGCTTTCTTTAGGATCAATCCAACCCTCCATAAGGGCACCCAGGGGGTGGTGGGCGGGGGTAGGTCTTGTCCAATTGGGTCCGTTTATTAAGGGGGAGAGGTGGGTTCTCCCTAGAAAAAAATGAAAATCTTGCTAGCGCTTCCTCGATCGCTTTACCTCGAGACTCTAAGCCCCATAATCCCCCGCCGGGAGGGTCAAAGGATTAGTGGAGCGCGCCCTCTCTCTGATCCTTCCCAGGGAAAGGCAGACACGGATAATAACAAGGTCCGTTCCCCCTCCCCTTCGGGGCTGACAGCCGGTTAAAATATTAAAATATCTCTAATTAAAATAAGGATGGCTATTTAAAAAAATAAAAAATAAAAATAAAAACACAATCAAAGAGCAGAGGAGGAATAATAAAACGGGGTAAAACGAGAGCACACCCCCTCCCTCCGAGGGGGTTTAAAAGTCTACGATGCCCAACTTGGGCGGCAAAATCCGGGCTGTTCCAGGCTCAGTGGCACATGGGTCTTGACGTCAGCTGGCCGGGCATCTTAGACGTATTCTCGGCTACTGGGGGGTTTGGCGATGGGCATCGGCGCCGGATACTGGCGGTTCTTGTACCCGGAGCCTCCCTCTGGACACGAGCAGGAGAGCAATCCGCCCCCAATCAGCGACAAGGCGGCTCCAGCCCAGCCAAGGAAAATGGAAGGGCCAATTTCGTACCTGGGGCACAGAAAGACACTCACCGTGAGACGGTAGAAAATGGGGGGGGGTGTTTAGGGAGGTCCCCATCCCACCCCTAGACCCCCTCCCCACTTCCCTGCCTCTGCAGCTGGGGGAAAAGGATTTGCCGGGTGTGGGAATTCTAGATGTAAAGGATTCTTCTCCCCGGTGCGGTTACTGGATGCTCTCCGGACATCACCTTGCTCCGACTTTCTTTCCCCTCCAGGTTTTCTTCCTGCCTCGGAAGCAGCCACGGGGGGGTGGAGTGGGGAAATGCCAGAGGTGGGGTGCAGAGGCGGTGGGGGCCCCCCTCCTCAAGAGGGACACGCTCCAAAGGGGTGGGGCCAGGGGAAAGGGGGCGAGGCAGGGCCAGGAGAAGAAGCGAATCTGAGTTTGTGTCCGGACGTTTTTGGCAAGCGAGATGCGCCACATTTGAGGGTGCCAAAGACAGACCCAGCCACCCCGTTTGCTCTGGACAACGTACTTTTTATTTACGGGGGAGTAGGCGTTGTAAAAATCTTGAACAATCTGGTTTGCACTCCAGGAACAGGCGACCAGGGAACACAAACCTAAATCGGGAAAACAAGGAGAGTATCACAAAACGGTTATCTTGGTTTGATGTTTTTTCTTCCCCAAGGGGATGTAAGCCTAGGAAGCGGGGCAAATATTCTATTCTATTCTATTCTATTCTATTCTATTCTATTCTATTCTATTCTATTCTATTCTATTCTATTCTATTCCATTCTATTTATTCTATTCTATTCTATTTATTCTATTCTATTTATTCTATTCTATTTATTTTATTCTATTCTATTCCATTCCTTATTCTGTTCTGTCCTGTTTTATTCTATTCCTTATTCTATTCTATTTCATTCCATTCCATTCTATTCTATTCTATTTTGTTCTGTTCTGTTCTATTCTATTTATTCTATTCTATTTATTCTGTTCTGTTCCGTTCCGTTCCATTCCGTTTATTCTATTCTATTCTATTTATTCCATGATATTCTGTTGTTCTATTTATTCTATTCTATTCCATTCCATTCCATTCTATTCCATTCGTTATTCTGTTTATTCTATTCCTTATTCTATTCTATTCCATTCCACTATTCTGTTTTGTTCTGTTCTGTTCTATTTATTCTATTCTATTCTGTTCTATTCTATTCCCGTTCCATTCCATTCCATTCTATTTATTCTATTCTATTCCACTCCATTCTATTTATTCTATTCTATTCTATTTATTCTATTCTATATTTTCTTTTCTATTCTACTTATTCTATTCTATTTTATTCTATATTTTCTATTCTATTCCATTCCGTTCCTTATTCTGTTCTGTTCTGTTTTATTCTCTTCTCTTCTCTTCTCTTCTCTTCTCTTCTCTTCTCTTCTCTTCTATTCTGTATCTTATCCTATTCCTAATTCCATTCCATTCCAAACGGTTGGGAAGCTGGGAGGGGAGGAGGAGGGAGGGAACTCACCGGCCACCAGGAAGACGATGCCGCCGGTCATGGCGATGCGGGCCTTGGTGGTCTTGTTGTCGTCCCCGCAGTGGGTGCATTTCATGCCCATGGTGGCAATGCCGATGCCCATCACGCCCAGGACGATGGAGATGACCATCAGCGCCCGGGTGGCTTGTAAGTAAGCTGCAGACAGACGAGGCAGGAGGTCAGAGGGGCACAGAAGCTGGATTTGGGGGGGGGGCTGGACTAGATGACCTTCGAGGTCCCTTCCAGCTCTGTTCTGATTAATTTAAAAGGTTGAGGATGGTGCAGCTGGGCGGGGGGTTGACTGCCAGAACGGGGAAACGCTGGCACTGCTTTGTGGATACCCAAGCACCCCCTTTTTGTAAGCTGGCCTGTCCTAACAGCCGGGCCCCCCTCCCAAGTCTTGCCAGGCAGATGGAGAACTCCTGTACCCCAACATCCACCCCTGCGCCCCAATACACACCCCAGCACCCCTCCTTGCATCCAGTACCTGCCCCAGTACTCCAGTATCCACCTCAGCGCCCCAATACCCATCCCTGGCCCTCCAAAAGCCACCCCGACATCCAGTACTTTCCCCCCCAGCACCCCCATAACGGCGGCCAGTCCCCCCCTCCCCTTCTGCACTCAACTCTTTTACCCAGAGAGACAGGATCGTGACGCCTGTCCGTCGGAGCCCAGGGCACCCCTGCGGGGCACATATTGGAGGGCAGAGGTTTGGGGGGGACCCCCCACCCCTCCCCTAGCACAGCCAAGTGGAGGAAGGCAGCGTGTTTGCTTGGGTGGGGGGCTTTCTCGGCAAACATTAAGAGGCTTCTGAGCATCCAGGCTGGGACGTAAAAAACGGGCCCGGGAAATGCGACATTTTAGGGAAGGAAGCCGGGGTGTGTGTGTGTGTGTGTGTGTGTGTGTGTGTGTGTGTGTGTGTGTGTGTGACACAGAGAGAGAGAGAGAGAGAGAGAGAGCGCCAAGGGGCAACAGCCACGGGGTTGGGGGGCATTGCCCACGCTGAGAGTCGGGCAGGCAGCGAATCAATCCAAATAAATAAATAGAAAAGGTTTTTCCCCTTCTTTTGATGGAAGGAAGAAAGGAAGGAAGGGAGAGGAAAGAAGGAAGGCAATAAGGGAGGGAGGGAGGAAGCAATAAAGCAAGGAAAAGAGATGGGGGAATGGGAGGGAGGCTGGGAAGGGAGGGAGGCAGGGAAAGGAGAGGGAGAGAGGGAGGAAAAAAGGAAGAATAGAAGGGAGGAAGAGGGAAAGAAGAGAGGAAGGAAAGAAAGGGAGGGAGGAAAGAAGAATGGGGAAAGGAAGGAAGAAGGGAAAGAAGGAGAGGGAGGAAGGAAGGAAGAGGGAGAGGAAAGAAGGAAGGAAATAAGAGGGAGGGAGGAAGCAAGGAAAAGAGTTGGAGGAATGCAGGAGAGGGGAGGGAAGGAGGGAGGGAGGCTAGGAAAGGAGGAAGGAAGAAGGGAAAGAAGGAAAGGGAGGGAGGGAGGGAGGAAAGAAAGAAGGGAGGAAAAGTAGACGGAAGGAAAGGAAGAAGGAAAGAAGAGAGGAAGGAAAAAAGAGAGGGAGGGAAAGAAGAATGGGGAAGAAGGAAGGAAGGAAGGAAGGAAGGAAGGAAGGAAGGAAGGAAGGAAGGAAGGAAGGAAGGAAAACAGCCAGCTGGTATAGTGGTTATGGGGCTGGACTTGGGTTCAAGAATCCCCCCCTCAGCCACCAGGCCTCTCCAGGGGGCTTTGGGCCTATTCCTCGCCTAGCCCAGTCTACCTTGCAGGATTGTTGTTGGGGGGAAAGGGAGGAAGCAGCCCTGGGTCGGCCGCATTGAGCTACTGGAGGGGAGGGGAGGTCAAATGAAACACCCCCTCCTTGTGGGGATTACCGCAGCTGCCCAGCGTTCTCGGTGCCTCCCGTGTAATTTTTATCCGCTGTCCTACCTGCCAGGGTTGTTTTTCTAGGAGGGAGGAGAACTTTGCGTAAGTACTCTGAGTGGCGAAGGAGGATATAAAAGCCGAATCGAGAAGCGAAGACAGGGGGAAAAAAGGAAAAAAGAGGCGAAAACTCTGGCTACTAAAAATAAAACATAAAAAGAGGATTTGCAAAGCAGGTCCGGTGGCCTCAGTGAGGGGTGGGGCCGCCGTGACTCAGCCCTGGGAGCAGCAGAAAGGCTGGCCCACCCGCCCGGGCTGTCGTCACCGGAGGCTGCGTCACTCGGCACCCAGGGTGCTCGCCCCCTGCCTGGCCCTCACATGGCCCCCTCCGTCCCCTCTGAAAGGGCAGGGGGGTCTCCCAAAGGAAGCCCCCCCTGGGTTGGGGCTCAGGGATGTCCCCAGGGACCCCCACACACACATGTCCTGGGCTTGCCTTGTCAACTCCAAGAATCCCACTCCTTCCTTCCTTCCTTCCTTCCTTCCTTCCTTCCTTCCTTTTTCTTCATTTCTTTCTTCTTTTTTCTTCTTCCTTCCTTTTTTTCTTCATTTCTTTCTTTCTCTTCCTTTTCCTTTCTTTCTTTCCTTCCTTCTCAGTCTCTCTTCTTCTCTCTTTTTTTCTTTCCTTCAATTCTTTCTCTCTTTCTCTCCTCTTTCTTTTCTCTTCTTTATTTCTTTATATTTCTTTTCCTATTTTTTCTTTCTTCTTCCCTTTCTTTCCTCCCTCCCTCCCTTCCTTCTTTCTTTCCTTTTCCTTTTTTGTCATTCTCTTTATATTTCTTTCTTTTTCTCCTTTCTTTTTTCTTTCCATTTCTTTTTCGTTTCTTTCTCTCTTTCTTTCCCCTTCTCTTTTCCTTTTTCTTTTCTTTCATTTCTTTCTCTTTCTTTCCTCTTCTCTTTCTTCTTTTTTCTTTCTTTTTTCTCTTCTCTCTTTATATTTCTTTTTCTACTTTTTCTCTTTTTTTCCTCTTTCTTTCCTTCATGTCTTTCTCTTTCTTTCCTTTGCCTTTCTTTCTCTTTTTCTTTCCTTTGTCTTTCTTTCTTTTTCCTTCTTTCTTTATAATTTCTTTCATTTCTTTCTCTCTTTCTTTCCTCTTCTCTCTTTTTTCCTTTTCCTTTTCTTTCCTTCTTCCTTTATCTTTTTTCCCTTCCTTCCTCTATCTTTCTTTATATTTCACTCTTTTCCTTCTTTCTCATTTTCCTCCCTCCCTTCCTGATGCTGGTTGTTGACTTCTTTGATCCTTTCCTAGCTCTTCTGGCAATTTTTACAGGATCAGCTTAGACATTTTTAGATGCTTCGAGGGGCCACCACCGAGAGGGTCCCGAGGCCAGCTGAAAAAACTAGGGACCCAGCTGAAAGGGAGAGCCATCGGCTGCCAAAACCCTGGCATAAATCGGTTTATTGGCTGATCCCAGATGGGGTGGCAGCCACCAGGCCAAACTATTCCCAATTTAAAGCCGCATCAAGTTACACCAGGAAGTAGGAAAAACATCCCGTAGAGAAAGGCCAACGGACAGACGGGCTGAGTCAGCAGCTTGAGTTGGGCAGCTCTGCAAACTGAAAAAGCAAACTAAATGGGAGCAAAGTCAAAAGTAAACAGGCAAAAAATAAACTCCAAACTAAACATTAAAGTGAAAAGTTCAGGCGGTCCTCGCGTTACAACCGTTCGTTTAGCCACTATTCCAAGTTCCAACGGCACGGGGCTTGGGGGGGGGGAAGAGAGAGAATTGAAACGCCCGTTTTTCACACTTAACGACCGTTACGGCGTCCCCAAAAATTCGGACGCCCGGCGACTGACTCACGTTTATGACGGCTGCGGGTCAGGCGATCCCCTTTTTGCGACCGTCCGAGGGGAAGCCGGATTCACTTAACAGCTGGGTGACTCAGTTAACAACGGGGGCCAGAAAGGGTCATTAAAAACGGGGCACAAACTCGACTTAGCCAATGTCTCGCTTAGCAACGGAAATCTGGGTGCTGCGTTGCGGTCGTGAGAGGCGAGGACTGCCCGAAACGTAAAGCAAAGTAAAATGAAAATAAAAAGAAAGAAATTGTGGCTGGGAAAATGGCACGGATTAAAAAAAAAAAAAAAAGGGGGGGGGGCTTCAGTTCGTCTGCCTCCTTCCGTATTGGACTCCGCCGAGCCAAAACAAATAAGTTAATTCCCAAAGCAAAGAAAGTCTTGTACTCTTTCCTAAGAACAATCTGATCCTTCCCCTGACAAAGTAAATTACGTTCCTTTGCACAGACGCAACCTTGTGCAATTTTGCCTGTTGTTTTTTGTTTTTTTTTTAAACCATTTGCTTGAGCAGGGGGTTGGACTAGATGACCTCCAAGGTTCCCTTCCAGCTCTATTATCCTCCTCTTCCTCCTCCTCCTTCTCCTCCTCTTTAAGAAGAAACTGGATAGCCATTTGTCTGAAATGGAATAGGGTCTCCTGCTGGAGCAGGGAGGTTGGACTAGATCACCTCCAAGGTCCCCTTCCAGCTCTATTATTCTCCTCTTCCTCTTCTTCCTCCTTCTCCTTTTTAAGAAGAAACTGGATAGCCATTTGTCTGAAATGATATAGGGTCTCCTGCCGGAGCAGGGGGGTTGGACTAGATGACCTCCGAGGTCCCCTTCCCACCCTGTTATTCTGTCATTCTCCTTTCTAATCACAGCCACGGATCCTTTCACTTGTTCCGCCTCCCACCCTCCCTCGGCACCATTTTGCAATCTTTCTGGAAGAATCCGGATTCATCTTTGAGATTCGCCTCACGCCACAATCTTGGCTCGGTCGCACACTTAAGCCAGAAATAGGCCACGATGGATGGGTTGACCCATCCTTGTTTCCTAAAAAAATTTTAAAAAGGGGGGGGAGCCTCCCCGTCTCGCTGCTGTGAGTCGCCAGCCTGGCATTGCTCAGCATAATGGCGTTGTCGCTCACTCACACACTCACACACAAAGACACACACCCAGAGACAAACGCAAGATGACGAAGGTGTCATTATTTAGTTTCACCTTTGCTCTCTCCGCAACGGATCCAGGTGGCAAAGTCTACGGGAGTACACGCCACAACTATAAAGCCACACCTTGCCTTAACAACTTCATGGGAAGCAGGAAGGAGCCTTGAAAAACCCAGTGTGTGTGTGTGTGTGTGTGTGTGTGTGTGTGTGTGTGTGTGTGTAGGGGGGGGCCTCGGAATATCTCCCCAGGAAGCAATTTTTTTTTATTTCTCTGTCCAATGCGTAAGAATCAATC